AGTACCGTCCGACGCTCTGGATGAAAAGCAAGGAAGGTACAATTTAGAAACATTGAAATGAAACACACATCTCCAATAATACTTTCAGGTTTTATTTCGCATATGCTATCACCATCCCGCAAAAATCTCATAGATCTACTCCTTTTATCAGTATTATCATTCTCATCATCGGCATCATCTTTTTTATGAAAACACTTATTCTCTGTAAGGTGGAGCCATTTGCCAATACCACTGTCGCACTTAAACCACAGCCTTATGAGTTCAGATTGGTTTATAAAACTATCTCGACGTCTTAAATATTAACCAAAAAACATTAAAAAAACACAGTGTATTGACACTCCCTCATTCTTCTCTGATTATCGACAGATGTTGATGTGCGCCTATTTTCCAACAAATCTGTTGTCGCCAAACAGGGTACCTGTCTTTACATTGTAACCCACAGTAAAATATCCAGGAAAACCTTTGAATATAACATTTATGACCGCCCAGTGATGTTGTTCTTAAGAAAAACTTAAAGTTTAGGTTTAGATACCAATTTATGAACACACTCATGTTTTTCCAATGTCTCCAATAAATGCGTAATCTACGTTACTGTTCAATAAACAATACCTAAACCATGCAAATATTTTAAAAGAAATGTGCCAATGAAATACAATAACTCTAGAAGTAATTAGGAATAAGTACTTAGAGCCAAAGAACCGGTTAATCAAGTTTCCTTTCCAAAAAAATGATGACTTATTCAAATCTTAAAGTTTTTTAAGGATGTAATCTACGTGACCTTCGTACACCAATATCCAACATAGAATACTCAACATAGCATATAGTACCATTGCAAGTGCAGTGAATGAGTGAAGTAAATGACAGTAGTGAGTGACAGATACCACATAGAGAGAGTCTGGGATGTTTAGTACACTTAAATGTAATCTCTGTGATGTAATATACGAGACCAATTCAGCACCTAAGACCTATTTCTTGGCTATTTAAAAGATATATTTCTTTTTAGTGGTTTGTTTTTCAACGCAGAATTATCTTCTTTTGGTAAAGTCACTTTGTCGGCCATTTGCATGAGTGGAAGCACTTGAGACGAGCAGTGCCAATGTGACTTTCTCAGCAAAGACATTTCAAGGAATTCATGAATGAAACAGGTGTACTTTTCACACAGCTACTATTTCTAAACATAACAAAATATACAAAATTTAGGTAAGGATAAATCAATTAATTTGATGGATTCTGTTTCAAAGCCTTCTTGACATTGGTAACGTTGATTACACAAAAGTGAATTTTCTAACACTATTGAATACCCTAGAATAATGAGATTCCTTTTCACTATTCTATGATATTTTCGGTGTTGTTCCATCTATAGTTCATGCTTACTGTTCTGCAATATTAGATGATTATCACTGAAATACAAACCGTTAAGCTACTTTACGTTGAGCGGTAACGTTCATTACAAAATGTTTTGATATTCTTGTAAAACTTCATATTTTTTGTCTGTTCCTTATGTCAACTACAATATTGCCTCTTTTTCTGGTCATGACAGAATAATGTTTTGTATCAGAAACAGTTTTAGTCGAAATATGTTGCATATTTCAGTTTTATGATTGAAACAATCTGGTCAGTTGATTACATCTGGTGGTTACGTAAATGACATTAATCATTATACATTTGTTACCATCCTTGCCAACTGAAGTTCAAATAATCATCTAAAATTTCTTGTTTTGCAGATTAGCAGAGATGGGGAAGTCAAGAGCTGAAGTTCAATGTGATTATAGGAAAAGGAAAATCGAGAAAGAAGGGGAGCATTTCAGACAAAAAGAAAGAGAACGGGCCAAGAAATACTATGTACCTATTGCTGACAGGTCTAAAAAGGATGCTAAATTCATGCGAGCAAAGGTTAGACTTTTGGTTCAAAAACATCGTGAGAAAAAGCGAGCTGAAACAGAATTGATTCAAACACACGTTGAAGAGACTGTCCCCACAACAAACAACGAGGGAGTGGAGATATCTGAAGATGAGAACCAGGTGAGCAGCACTGTCTCGGACTCCGGATCTCGGCACCAGTCCCTTGTCGTCCGCCTACCATTTGCTGCTCCAAAGACGCCCAATGTCAGAAAACGTATCAGTAGGATAGCTGCGTGGGCATCCATAGCTGACAATCGGATTGCAGAATGTGTAGATAGTAAATACATCTACTGTGCCGACAGTGATTGGAAAGGGCATCCCAATTTAGCGTGAAAACATCGCAACCTTTGATGTTTTAGGTACATTTACTCAACTGAAATCGCCCAGTGTCAAACTTTTCTTTTTTGGGTATACATAACATAATAATTTTTCTGAATATACATAACATATATTATGCAAGCTTAATGATGTTTCATTTTTCATATTTTACCATTTTTATTAGACATTTCCTGAAATTGTGTCACTGTCATACTTTGTTTTATATATGGTGCCGTTTTAGCCCATAAATCAGTAGCCGTTTTCGCCACACAAATTTGGTGCCGTTCTGCTGTGGTGCCGTTTTAGCTATAACCCATAGCTGCACGTCAGAGTTGAGAAATAAAGAAGTTGAAAGAAGAAAACACAAAGTTAAGGAGAAAATACAAGACGGTTTGCAAACGATATGAAAGGAAGACACAAGCATTTTTTCATGGTTCTGCTGGTGCTTCAACAAGTTCAACTGATGGGTCAAGCATCAAGCATCAACAATCTTACGCCTTCAAAATGGACGGCTCATGAGCTGAGGTCAAGTGGCATTAGTCCTTCCTTCTACCTTGTTTCTGACCATCATAGCCTGTTTGGAATGCCAGCCTCGTGGAATTATTTTTTGAATCAGGCCACGGAAAGGGGCCTTGCGATGGAATTGTCGGTACATCCAAAAGAATGGCTGATCTTGCTGTTCGTCAAAGGAAAGTCACAATTCAGGATGCTATGGAGTACTTTGCATGGGGGTTCAATATCATACGACCTCAAAGTATATTCTGGTGAAAGCCAGTGATATCCCCCCTTCAAGAGCTCAATAAAAATGTCATCCCTCTGAAAGGTACGATGAAGGTACATGCTGTGGCTTCAGTATCAAGTGGTGTTATCCGTAACCGAGCAACTTCCTGCTACTGCAATCTGTGTCTCAAAGGAGAATACCACCCATACTGGATTTCGTCTTCCATTGTAAGAGATTCTCAAGCAGATCATCTGAACGTTGATGTGACCCAACAGCCAGACCTCAATGACGTTGAACCATCACTTGGAGTTGAAACAGTGGATCCTCCTCTTCCTCAGGACCAGCCCGTTGTACAACCCAAGGAAGGCGAATCTGCAGCTGCTATGTACGAGGGTCAATGGTACATCGGGCGCACAGAGGAAGTAGACCAGGATGACTTGGAATGCCGGATTTCATTCATGGAGAAAGTAAAATCGGGAAACTTCCGGTGGCCACGGCGTGTTGATGACATATGGGTACCATTCCATGAAGTACTATGTATAGTAGGAGCCCCCAAACCATGTGGACGTTCTTGCGCACCTTCCAGGTTGATAAGGTTGATCTGGACATGATTTTGCAGATGTTTGCAATACGCATGTAATATACGTAACATTTTCATTTGTGACATTTTAACTCCTTTTCAACTGTTTAGTGTTTCAAAAGTTGTGTTAAGCAGTGTATTCATGTTATATCATTTTCATATGAAGAAAGTTGACTTTAATTTGAGTATTTCAGAAGTGAAATATACGTTACCAAGATTGGTAATATACGGTACAAATGTTTAAAAGCTGACATCTTTGTATGGTTTGTCAAAAGGCAAGTGGATATTTCAAGTCTTTTTGACACTCGTTATTGAAATATGATAAATGATGAAATATGAGCTTGTGACGTTTCCTCATTCACAATCAAAGTTATGGTTTTTGAAACAGTTACCATGATTTTCTTTGCTGTTGCAGTTTTCTACGTTACATTTTGGAAATGTATTTTTTCAAAATTTAAAAGCTCTCAGTAGCCAGCATCTTTTGATTTTGTTCGAGATAGTTGCACGTTTTGAGAAAGGAATATTAACATTAATTTCATTGCATTGATGCTTTTTCAATCAGTATTTTCTGGTGTGTGATAGAGGTCTCGTAGATTACAAATTGAAAAATGTACATGTATCTTCATGACACTGTACTATCCCAAGGGGGTGTTCCCTATTCCTGATTTTTGTTCACTCTGTTACTCAAGTTCCTGCCTGTTAAATCCTAATAAAATTTCATTGAAATCCAGAACTTTATTTTCTTAAAAAGGGTTTGGGTATTGGCTCCACTTTACAGAGAATTGGTGAAATGTCCTCATGTCAGCTTGTCTATAACCCGTGAAGATATGTGTTAGAACTGATTTTCAGCACCCAATGTCGTAAGAGGCGACGAACGGGATGGAGTGGCCAGGCTCACAGACTAGGCTGACACATGTCATAGTATCCCAATGGCGTAGACCGATGCTCAAGATGTTGATCCCTGGATTGTTTGGTCCAGACTTGATTATTTACAGACAGCCGCCATATAGCTGGAATATTGCTCAGTGTGGCGTTAAACAACAAACAAAGACCATGGTAACTTGAAGTTTTCAATATTTGACTGGGTGACTGAGTTTGGTCTTCAGGACGGGGACACTAGAACTCCGAATAGTGTGTCGTTGTGGGGAATCGACTATAGGGTGCAGTACAATGACCGAACCACCAGGCTACAGCAACTAAACCTCAACTTGCAGTCGATATAAACAAAGAAGAGACGTAAGCGAAAGTTACGTGAGATCCGTGACCAAAGACAAAGAAATGTCATCTTGACATGCCTACGAAATTAGAAAACACGGCTGGTTGATTGGTTCGTTTGTCATAAACGCCGCACTCAGCATGTTCCAGCTATAATAATCGAGTCTGGGCCAGGCAATCCAGTTATCAACAGAATAAGCAAGAAAAATAGGAACGGAACAATAAATACTAGTATCAATATTGACTCGTTTGAGCCCTTCGAACTTACTGTATGACCAAGGAATAGCATCTCTCCTGTTCATAATCCAGCTGCCTCAACGTTTCGACAGTCATTCCCGTAGTGCCAAAAACGTCGCTGTGGCCTCCAACAATGGAGTAGGTGATAGCATCACCGTCAACGTCTGTGGCGGCGGCGAACGTGTGTATCACCGTACCCACCGGCGTTGTTTCCGCAACGTCAAGTTTGTAGTCCGCTGACGTGAACACTGGGGCGTTGTCGTTGACGTTGTCAAGGATGATCTTTAGCGTTGCTGACGTCTCCTTGTAGGGGTCGCCACCGTCTCTAGCTGTGAGGGTGAGGTCGTAGTACATCTGTCCTGTCGTGATATCACGGTCCAGGTTGCCGGCAGTTCGTAGAGTTCCAGTCACCGGGTTTAAGGCGAACAGATCTATGGCACTGGTTCCAGTATCTGGAAGAGCGGGTACATTAGTGTGTGATGAGTGAGTCAGTTTAGTTTTACGCCGCTTTAAGCAATATTCCAACAATATGACGGCGAGGAACACCAGAAATGGGCTTAACACATTGTACCATGTGGGAAATCGAACCCGGGTCTTCGGCGTGACGCGCGTACGCTTAAACCACTAGGCTACCCCACGCCCCAAAGAGATGAGTGAGTGAGTGATATTCACGTAAGGCCGCTTCCACGAGTATGAACTGCAGTAGTTGGTTTGTCGTTTAACGCTGCACTAAGCAATATTCCAGCTGTATTGCGGCGAACTGCAGTAGCATCGTTTAAAGAACACTCATAAGAGGTGAGGTGAGGTGAAATTGGGTTTAATGTCGTGCTTGAGAATATTTCGCTCATATGACGACATGCATGCGTGTGTATGTGTATGTGCGGCTGCTTGTACTAGCCCAGACTTAAGCTGGTTTTATAGTGCTAGCCCAGTGAGATACCATGCCGCAGTGAAGCATGAATACCCCACTCAGACACATTATACTGACTCCAAGCCGACCAGTCCTTGTTGTACCCATTAATGCCAAGCGCCAGGCAGGGACCAACAAGTACCATATTTTAACGTCTTTTGGTATGACGCGGTCGGGGATTGAACCCGCGACCTTCCGCTCTCTGGGCGGACGCTCTAACCACTACACCACGGAGGCGGCCAACACTCATAAGAGAGACTGTGAGTCCAGGTGTTAGCAATATCCCAGTAAGAATGTATTTGTCTGTGAGGCTCTCAGAAAATGATTTAAGGTCAACGAATGAACATTGGAGACCTTGACACCCCGGACATTGAATATATTTACTTCAGAGAAATGTTAGTTGTATCTAATCTACAATCTACAGTTTTGATCAATTTCATGTTACCTTTCAAACAGATCAGCAAAAACATAGGTTGCATCCTTTCTGAATTTCTTTGCAAAATGTGTTGCTTCCGATGAAACCTTGTTCATCATGGTGGGGAACACCAACAATGTGAGAATTCTAACTCGAACTTTCAGCCAGGCGATCAAACGCTTTAACTAATAGACTACCTCCACTCAGGATACACCCAGGATACACCCACCCTAGACATCAAACCTGGGTCGTATCTTTTATCTGTGATATTCATTTATCATCGGAGCGAAAACGCTGAAACGGGCAATGACAATTTAATTATTTCATGATATCTATTATTACATATATTCCGAATCAACTAATCCGGTGTCACCAAAATGAAAAGGTAATAACCGTTTCTACAGAGACGTCACCCTTTTGAAGTGATCATAAATTTTAATTTGATATATTTTAATTACTTGTGACTGCGGATGTGATGGTATAGGTGACGTCTCCGTCGACTCCGTGATCGCCATCAGTCGCCTGCAGCGTAAGAAGACCTGATCCCACGGTGACGTTCTCGTTCATGTTGAGGTCAGGGAGGGCGCCGCCGGACACAGACAGGGCTGCTGACCACACAGGGGCATGCTCGTTCACTGGTAATATCTGAAGGCATATAGTTTCCATGGTGACGTTAATGGGGTTTACAGTTGGGTTCAGGATCATTACACCAATTTAGAGCGTGCATGCGTGCGTGCTTCTGTGTCCGTGTCTGCATCACGAAGGCCAAGGTCAAATGTTGTAACGCCACTTATAGTGACGTTATCCATTGGAATAACGTGCTTCTAGGCCAGTGTGACCCTGACGTTTGCTGTGTAATACTTGGGAATACTACTGTCATACTGATGCGGTTTATGGATATCATATAAAATGACAAATTCTCCCCATTTTTAAACGGTAGCACTAAGTCTCTTGGGCATCATCATCAGAAGCTGTTAGTCCGTTCCGCGGACCGGATGGTGCAGTAGTCCATAATTCGCCGTTTAGAGTTTCGTCCCTTGAGCACAACAGGAACCTATGATTTTGATACCGTTGAGCTCGTTAGGTTTCCAGGTTTGTCAACTCTATACCTGCGCCCGTGGGCTAAACCAAAGACTGACTGACTGAGTTTGGTTTTACGCCGCTTTTAGCAATATTCCAGCAACATCACGGCGTGGGACACCAGAAATGGGCTTCACACATTGTACCCATGTGGGGAATCGAACCCGGGTCTTCGGCGTGACGAGCCAACGCTTTAACCACTAGGCTACCCCACCGCCCCTAAACGAAAGAAGTAAACCTCCGAGGTACGCATCCCTTCGGCGTTCGTTCAATAGTTGGTGACACATCAAGATATACTAGTAACTGGAATACTGATCACAGCGGCGTTAAAACTCACTCACTCACTCACTGACTCACTCGCTCACTCACTCACTCAACAAACTCAATCATCGGTCAGTTAATTCAGTGATATTGCCCTGAACATAGGTTTGCACTGTACCAATGGAGCTCATTCTCCCATTTACCCGTGGTGGGTAATTTCATTCTGTAGACAGGGCAGAAATCTATATATGGCCCTGGGTCCTCTCTGAGTACTATTGTAGGTCTGTCAGCACCATAGCTGTGGCCATGGGTCCATCACCTTCATTCCTTGGGGCTTTCATCCACCAGTACATCGTCATGATACAACTCGGTGTTAACTCATTAATACTCTGTATAGTACCCACTTACCGAGACAACAACCAGGGTCACGCCTGTTTTAGGGGCCTCGCCTGAGGGGGAGTCGGTTGCGGACACAGTCAGGATGTACATGTACTGGGTGTCCTTCAGGGCCTCGTAGTCAAGGTCAGCACCAAGAGCAGACAACTGTGTGCCACTTAGCTGGAACTTGCTTGCTCCCGGGTCGTCGCCGTCGGTGATCTGCATGGTGATGGCGCCGTTTGTGCCGGAGTCGGCGTCAGTAGCGACGAGATCCACCAGTACCTCTGGAAAAAATACGGATGTAAATCTAACCTGATGGAATAAGGGACCCCAAATCTGGACTCCATGATTTTACTATTGGAGGTGCCGTAGTAGCCTTATATTGTGCACTGGAAAGTGAGTGAGTGAGATTGTGGGTATTTGAGTATTTGTTGAGTGAGTGAGTGAGAGAGTGTTTGTTAAGAGAGTGAGTGAGTGAGGGATTGGGTAGGTATTCCAGTATTCCAGACTGCTGGACTGCTTTGGATTAAATTTGGTTTTCTGGGTTATCCGGAATACACACTGTAACATATGTAGTCATATCAGTTAAAATATGAAGGCATGTGACAGTATTTGCTTGGTAGTAATTCCCGGTTTGGGGACTGAACATCATTTTTAATTTTTTTTAAAAACTCTCATTAATGTTTTTGAAACTTAACCTGTGGAAGAGCTCTCAGAGATGTTGACTTTGTACACAGACTCCGCAAAGGTGGGGTAAGCATCGTTAATGTCCTGTATTTCCACACTGAGAGAAGCCGTTGCCTGGAGACCCGCCTGGTCAGTCACTGTCAAGGTCAGTTGATCAAGGACGTTGTCACCTGCCAGAGCTTCAAGGTCAATTCTCTGTGCGAGTTTAACTGACCCGGATGTAGCGTTGATGGTGAAGAAGGAGCTGTCAGTTCCTTGAATTGAACATGTGGAATAGAAAATAATTTATAGAACTCAACAGAACATGCACATGTGTAATATTACGTAATATATAGAACTTGAGAGCAAATGCATAAGAAAGATATTATAAAGTATTGCACATAACATAATATATGGAGCATAATAGGACACATAACACATAAAAACGTCCATGGGTTTTTACAAGAACGACTTAAGTGCATAAAAGCATAAAAGAACATGCATGAAATAACCTAGCCTATTGAACCATGGGGAACATATTAAACAGAATATAATGTATAGATATAAAAGAACATTATGCCATATATAACATTACAGGACATATGGGACCTGACAGAGCACCCGCATCATAGCAGAACATGTCAGCACAGCAAAACAGAACATATCGAAAATAGCAGAAAATTAAGAACGTAGGAATTAGTGAGTGAGTTCAGTTTTACGCCGCTTTTAGCAATATTCCAGCAATATCACGGCAAGGAGACACCAGAAATGGGCTTCACACATTGTACCCAAGTGGGGAATCGATCCCGGACCTTCGACGTGACGAGCGAACACTTTAACCACTGGGCTACCCCTAAGAACGTAGGAAAATAAATATAACGTAACCCAACATGTGGGGAAAATGGGACAAAACGGAAGATAACAGAATAAATAAGACAACTTAAATTTGGTGAAAACGGAAATGTGATGTAACCGAGGGCAGAATGCTTGATTCTTTCCTTGTGGAACCTGGTGAATATGACCATACCTGGTTTGATGAATGTTGTCAACCAAATCGATCATGACATATTGTTTGTTTACATTGATTTAAAAAGAAATTCGCAAACAATTACATTACTACAACCTGATCTAAAGATATATTCCATAAATATATGTACATATTCAGAGAAAGATTTATGAGTAATTTTATTCCTTACCCTGTAAGGTGAAGGTCCATGAATCGCCTGTGTCAAGGTCGGTCATGTGATAAAGGCCATCCACTGGCGTCCCTACCGGAAGTTCTTCAGTCACGAAAACAGGGGTGAAGGTCACGACGTTGGGTGTCTCGTCTATAACGTCAGTAACCCTGACAACTAGTGTCTGGTTCGCCGAATGTACTCCGTCAGAAATACTGCGGCAGCAGGAAACAAGATTAGCGAACATTTTAGAACTGCACACAGTTGTTACATGGTGACCAACAGAAACACTTCATGAACAAATTAGCGTGGTGAGCGAGCTGTATAAGGCACCAGGCTAGTGATCCTATGAGCTTCTGGTGCCGGGATCGAGCCCACCTGTGGCCGGGTGTAAAAAACTTGGAGTCAACTTTGTGTGCAGACTCTTTCAGTGTTGTCACAGCCCCCTAGTGTACAGTACACTACCATGTGCACTTAAAAGAACCCACGAATCCGTTGGTATATGACCAGATGGTGGCCACATGAATACGTGGAAAAACCTAGTTGCGGGTACAGCAACGTGCAATAAACTTGGGCAAAGTACTGTGACTATGTGTCCCAGTCCACCCAGTTGTGAATGGGTACCTCGTAAAGATGGGAAAGACATATTAACTCGGTGCGCCTAGTGGCTGCAAGAGTTGTATGATCCCCAGGGAGTTGAGAGTGATAATATGATGTGCCGTTGAGATTGACAACCTGTGATCGAGGGAAAAACAAAGCGCCTGTGAGCAGCCTAGGTGGAACTCGGCGTTAAATAAATAGATTATAATAATATAATGACAACGTTTTTTCCATAACCATATGAAGACTCAGTTAGTCAAATGCAGGCCGACTAATAGTATGCGTCCACATTGACAAATTGCTAAAATAGCCATCACTGGAAAATTACTGAGGCCATGATCTGTGGGATGCTGGATGAAATGTATGTGAAATTGTGGGAACATTTTAACAAGGAGAAGGCATTTAATATGGCCCAAAATTGTTTTCTTAATGCAGAAATTCTGCTCGGATTTGAAAAATATAACACGGTAATTTACCTTAAACTTTCCACTTAAGCATCACGTTTCTCCTAGTTAGAGCCATTAAAACTTCAGATCAACAGACTTATAAGTGTAACGGTAAACTTAAGACTACACATGCCTAAGCAGTTTAGTTTTAGTTTTTTTACAAAAACCTTCTGCATAAACTAGCTTATAAACCGTCTCGTATGCATCATATCATATAATACATATACGTATAAGACGAATGTAAGTCGTTAACTCCATCATAGGATTTGCAATGCCCCGCGGTAAATGCTTCTTCTTGCAGACACAAAGTACAGGGTGTTTCAAAAATTGACAAACTGCTCACAAAAAGTGAAAGGACACACGATTCTTTCAATATGTAGTTAATCTACCATGGCATAACACAGAGCGGGTGTTCCTTAACTTCTTTGAGTAGTATATAAATGCCGGTTCATTAATCATACCTGATGACTATCGAGTGACTCGATGACGTTTCATAATCCAACATTTGCGCCAGTGCGAGTGCGACATCCGTTCCAGCGACAGAGAACAGTGACGTTTCTCCGTCAACCAGACTTGCAGTGACAGTGTCACCGTCACCGTCTCGCACGCTGAACGTCAGGATGACGTCGTTGACGTTTGTGTCTTCTGGGACGTTGACGAAGTAAGTAAAGTCTATAAACTCTGGTGTTAAATCGTTTTCATTCTGTAGAGTAACGCGGAGAGATTGGGTTGTGGATTTAGGAGTGAGTCCTTTGTCTGTTGCCATCACCGTGACGTCGTAGTGGGCCACGCCACCAGTCATCACGTCGACGTCCAAACCTTCCGCTACTCTGAGAACTCCAGTGGCCTCTTCAATGAGGAACTTTGTTGAAGCATCGGCACCAGACGCTGGGGAATAGTAAAAGTAGGGCAAACAAAAATCGAATGGTGAGGTGAAATTAACGGTGGGCTTAACGTTCGTCACGCCGAATATCCGAGTTTGATTCCCCACATGGGTACAATGCGTGAGCCCATTTCTGGTGTCCCCGCCGTGATATATTGCTGAACGCGGCCAAAAACTAAACTCACTCACTCAATATTACTGCAATGCATTATTAAAAAGGGACGTTGACACATCTTTTTCCGAATGTGCATGTGCGTGTGCGTGCGTTCGTGCGTGTGTACCTGATTGTACTAACCCTGACTATTACCTGCCTACTGAGATAAACGCTGATGTAGCTCATGAGTTTTCAGAATTCTGACTTCTGACCTCATTTTAAGGTCATTCCATGACCAAAGGACTGAGTTTTGGTTTTACGCCGCTTTTAGCAATATTCCAGCACTATCACGGCGGGGGACACCAGAAATGGGCTTCACACATTGTACCCATGTGGGGATTCGAACCCGGGTCTTCGGCGTGACGAGCCAACGCTTTCACCACTAGGCTACCCCACCGCCCCTCATTCCATGAAGGTGGGAGACATCAAGGAATTCACAAATGACCCATGGGGAACGACGGATTAAAGACAGATTGACCATGAGGGAAGATAATCATTAATTCTGAGATACGTTTGGATTTAGAATAGTAACCATGTGAGAATATGTGACCATATTCCCATTGATAACATAGTGATTCGTTATTTATTGTATTCATCTGACGCCATTTTGAACACCCACATTTCATGAAAATATTCCTTTTAATAAACAATTTACATAATTCAAAATTATGAATCTCAACAGATTCTGAATTATCACTGAAAACGCGTATTCATTGTGAACATGGAGTGAGTGGGTGAGTGAGTGAGTTTAGTTTTGCGCCGCTTTCAACAATATTCCGGCAATATCACGGCGGGGGACACCAGAAATGGACTTAACACATTGTACCCATGTGGGGAATCGAACCCGGGTTTTCGGCGTGACGAGCGAACGCCTTAACCACTAGGCTATCCCACCGCCCCCTGTGAACATGGAACTTAACTTACGATCAATCACCGTTGTGATCTCGTATACAACTCGTCCGTCTTCTCCATTATCGTCGTCGGTAGCTGAGAACGTTTCCACCACTGATGACGTCTGCGAGGTCTCCGATATTGTCACGTCGGTTGCGGTGGGCGCGGTGAAAACTGGCGTGAATTCGTTCTCGGGCAGAACCTGAGAAAAGGATGAAGAAAGATTCCTTTCATTCCACATCGAATCTTGGAAGGATTTTATTTTTCAACGATTCCTATTCCTAATTAGGGGCCGGGTAGCCTAGTGGTCACAGCGTTCGTTCGTCACGCCGAAGCCCGGGTTTGTTTTCCCCAATAGGTCCAATGTGTGGAGCTCATTCTGGGGCCTCCCATAAATTATCAGTAAATGTGAGTAAATGTGAGAAGGAATATATATAAGATTTCTTATTTATTTTACTATCATCCAAGACCAAAGGACTGACTGACTGAGTTTGGTTTTACGCCGCTTTTAGCAATATTCCAGCAACATCACGGCGGGGGACACCAGAAATGGGCTTCACACATTGTACCCATGTGGGGATTCGAACCCGGGTCTTCGGCGTGACGAGCCAACGCTTTCACCACTAGGCTACCCCACCGCCCCTCATTCCATGAAGGTGGGAGACATCAAGGAATTCACAAATGACCCATGGGGAACGACGGATTATAGACAGATTGACCATAAGGGGAAATAATCATTAATTCTGAGATACGTTTGGATTTAAAACAGTAACCATGTGAGAATATGTGACCATATTCCCATTGATAATATGAGAGCGGAAGGTCGCGGGTTCGATCCCCGACCGCGTCATACCAAAAGATGTTAAAATATGGTACTTGCTGATCCCTGCCTGGCGCTCGGCATTAACGGGTACAACAAGGACTGGTCGGCTTGGAGTCAGTATAATGTGTCTGAGTGGGGTATTCATGTTTCACTGCGGCATGGTATCTCAGTGGGCTAGCACTATAAAACCAGCTTAAATCTGGGCTAGTACAAGCAGCCTCACATACACATACACACGCATGCACGTCGTCATATGAGCGAAATATTCTCAAGGCACGACGTAAAACCCAATTTCACTTCACCTCACCATTGATAATATAGTGATTCGTCATTTATTGTATTCATCTGACGCCATTTTGAACACCTACAAGTTCATGAAAATATTCCTTTTAATAAACAATTTACATAATTCAAAATTATGAATCTCAACAGGTTCTGAATTATCACTGAAAACGCGTATTCCTGTGAACGTGGAACTTAACTTACGATCAATCACCGTTGTGATCTCGTATACAACTCGTCCGTCTTCTCCATTATCGTCGTCGGTAGCTGAGAACGTTTCCACCACTGATGACGTCTGCGAGGTCTCCGATATTGTCACATCGGTTGCGGTGGGCGCGGTGAAAACCGGCGTGAATTCGTTCTCGGGCAGAACCTGAGAAAAGGATGGAGATTCCTTTCATTCCGCATCGAATCTTGGAAGGATATTATTTTTCAACGACATATTCTTAATTAGGGGCCGGGTAGCCTAGTGGTCACAGCGATCGTTCGTCACGCCGAAGCCCGGGTTTGTTCTCCCCAATAGGTCCAATGTGTGGAGCTTATTCTGGAGCCTCCCATAAATTATCATTAAATGTGAGTAAATGTGAGAAGGAATATATATAGATTTATTATATATTTTACTGTCATCCAAGACCAAAGGACTGACTGACTGAGTTTGGTTTTACGCCGCTTTTAGCAATATTCCAAATATTCCAGCAACATCACGGAGGGGGACACCATAAATGGGCTTCACACATTGTGCCCATGTGGGGATTCGAACCCGGGTCTTCGGCGTGACGAGCCAACGCTTTAACCACTGGACTACCCCACCGCCCCCCAAGACCAAAGGAGTAAATAAATATTATTTCAAATGTACAGAATTATGCTTTTGGAATGCACCAAATCTCTGAGCAACATAATACCCTACAGTTGAGTGCACTCAATTTTCAGCTTCCTGGGAGTATACAAAACAAGCTGCCTGTGAGGCGCTTTGAGGTAAACAGTCACTACAGTCAGTACTCACCATCACGACGACAGTAGCCTTGGCAACGTGGGGATCCCCTTGCAGAGGGGCGTCTTCAGCCTGTATTGACAGAGTGTACATGTTACCAGGCACCAAGGGGTCTTCATAGTCCACGGGCTGACCAGTGGACACAAGGTCAAAGCCGCTGAGACTGAACCTGGCAGGGCTGACATCTCCGCTCTTGATTGTCACGCTGACCGCTGCATTGTCACCGTCGTCCGCGTCCGTACATGAGATCGTGAAGAATACTTGGCCTGGGTTAAATTTAAGTAACAGATACACACTCAGCAGCAAAAATATTATTTTCATATTAATCATGAATAACTAAGAATTAAACATGATATGAAAGATAGGGCTTACAGAGTGGTTAATCTTCTAGTGAGTGAGGTTATTTTGACATGTATACCAGCAATATCACGCGGCGAACACCAGAAAGGGCTTCACACTTTGTACCCATGTGGGGAATCGAACCCGGGTCTTGGGCGTGACGAGCGAACGATTTCACCACAAAGCTGCCCCACCGCCCCGATCGATCTTCTAACGACATTCACTGCAAAGGTAGGGCTGTTGTCGTTGATGTCCACGATGTCGAAGGTCAAAGTCTCTGATGCCACGCTCCCCCCTGCGTCTGTCACCTTCAAGGTCACGTCAGTGATTGGAGGTCAAATCGGCCTCCCTGTCCGTTCAGTGATTAATCTTCTAACGTGAGTGAATGAGTTCTACGGTGCTAAATTTTCAGCACTATCACACATCACAAGTTGGTTTCGGACATTGTACTCGTGGACTTTCGTGGCAGCCCGTCATTGAAGTACTGTTTTTAGCATCGGTAAACCCATCTCACTCACTCAGCCAATCACCAATGCAACAGATGTTTATTTGAAACACGTCTACTTACCATTAGGCGCGTTTTCTGTAACGTTAACGAAGAAGACGTCCACTGCAAACGTAGGGCTGTTGTCGTTGATGTCAACGATGTCGAAAGTCAACGCTTCTGACGCTATGTTTCCCCCTGCGTCCGTCACCTTCAAGGTCACGTCAGTGATGGAGGTCAAGCCGGCCTCTCTGTCCATTCTCTGCGCCACTGTCATCACGCCGGTTGAAGGGTCAATACTGAAGTAGGAACTTCCGGTTCCTGAAATGAAACGGAAATAATGGTCTCAAGTATGCGTTTTACAAATTGTTGTTAAAATGCTTTATCCACGTGACATTGTTTAGTTTTAAACAGATCCGGGAGCATAGTAGGCACAATTCGCTGTGCTGTGGATAGTCTGTTCTTAGGTTTGAATCCTATTCTTGGTCCCTCGGTGGTCATGGGAAACACTTAAGATCTGTGTCAGTCGTCTTTTTCCTTTATCCGTAGGCTCTAGGCTATCGTGATATATACTCATGCCAATAATGGTTGTCACCCCCTTCCCCAACCCAACCCCACACACACCTCACACCCCCACCCCAATTAAAAAAATTGAAGGGGGTGACAACCATTATTTCAAAACACAAACCTCTCACTTTAAAACTTGGTTTATCAAGCACAACCCTCACAACAACGTTAATACTCCTTTATCTACCTTCCAAACTATAAGTGAGCGTGTCGTCATCATCAATATCCGTGACGTCATGCACGCCCCCTAGCGGCGTGCCCAGGAGTAGTTCTTCTAGAAGAGAGACTGGGGTGTTGACGTTAAGTACGGGATTCTCGTCGATGATGTTGGTAACGTTGATGGTGACGGCGACCTCTGTCTCATGCACGCCGTCACTTGCTCTGCATACAGAAAAATCATTAATCTATTTTTATATTTAACCAGTTAATCAAACACCTGTCCTAGTCTTCTTCAATCAAAATACGTGTGTAATTTAATTGCAGTGCAGGTATTTCAAATCTTTACCAGTTTTTCGTTTGAAACGATAGGATTATGCGAGAGTGACTATACATGTACTCGCGAAGAAAAGTAACTGTACTTCATTAAAAGTGGTGTAAATGTTCTGTTGTTGAAAGTCACAGCGTAACATTTGGTCAATCGTCTGATAGAAGTTTCATCACCACAAATTCATGGCCAAAACCCACATATGGTTACAGGGAGAAAACACAATGGCGTTACTAAGAGACGGTCTAGAGAAATAGCCAGCAATAACGGCACAGCCCCGTTTTGCTGCATCAAAATGTCTTTACAACGGTCGTAACGCGTGGGGAAGCATTATCCTGTTGTGCCTTTACGTATTTTCTTATTTACAATTAAAATTGTCATTTACAATTGTCATCAGCAATATTCCAGCTATATGGCGGCGGTCTGTCATCGAGTCCGGACCAGACAAACCAGTGATCAACAGCATGAGCATCGATCTACGCAATTGGGATACGATAACATGTGTCAACCAAGTCAGCGAGCCTGACCAGACGTTCCCGTGCGTCACCTCTTACAACATTCACGGGTTGCTGAAGATCAATTCAAACCCGGATCTTTACGGGACTAATGACGGCAAAGGAATTAAACTTTTAACAAAAAAATAGCTAGTTGTTGACGACAATATGCAAATGTACCTGATTCTGAAACTGTAGCATCGCCTCATCTCATAGTCAAGAGTAGCCGCCGTCTTAATGTCGGCGCCGTCGATTGTGAACGTGCCGTCGCCTCCTATCACTGTCACCGTGTTTGTATCACCGTCAACGTCAGTGACAACGAAACCTAAGACGCTGGTTCCTGTGGCAACGTCTTCTGCAATTTCTCCATCGTAAGCAGATTTGCTAAATACAGGCGGGTTGTCATTTTCCGCGCCGACGGAAATACGAATCGTTTTCTCAACGCTTAGTACCGTCGTTCCGTCATCAATGGCCTTGACCGTGACGTCATAATACGTTACGCCCGTGTCGTAGTCGAGATTTGCGGCAAGAGCGAATTCTCCGTTCCCAGAATCCAACGTGAATGTACCGGATCCGTCAGTTCCCAGGTCTATAATCAACATATCATTTTCTCGTGATTTGGTGTATTATCATCGGGATCCATATTGTCAGTAAGAAAATTTTGACAGTTTATGGATGACAATGACTATATCGATGAAACGTTTCGGTATAGATTCTTTTACTGTTGTCAAGCACTGTTTGTTTACAACGGTATAAGAATCTACACCGAAACGTCGCTTTACAATGTAACAAAGAAGTTGTCATCCATGAAATATCCATTCTCTTCCCACAGAGGTTACTTGTCATATCTTCCTAAGAACCTCTGTCCTAATACGGCCCTTCATGATGCGAGTGTTCAGGATTCGTGATTGGTTGCAATCAGATTTAGTTGTGCAATCAGCGACGTTGTTTCAAAAGTGATCATTCGCAAGGTCTCGGTAATTACCGTATGCTTCGGGAAAACTAGAACCTCTTCCCCTGCGCGATGCGCAAACGTTTCTTCTAGACAGAACTCAGTCATGCAATAGCGGATCAATGGCGTCTCAATCGCCCTCGTTGACAACGGACAAGCTAGCCATTAAATGCCTTGTGTCCCCGACAGAGGAGGGATATTTGTGGCCCCATATTTGCTCGAATTAGTCAAGCTGGATCTAAGTCGATGTAACACGTTTTCTGAATGGATAGAAAGAAGGTAGATGATTCGTGTTGCGATTTTTTGCCGCTAGGGGATTTTACGAGAACCGGTAAATATGGCCGTATTCGAACAGAGGTTCGTAGGAAGATATGACAAGTAACCTCTGTGGGAAGAAAATATAAAGTATCATACCTTTCTTATTATTCATTAACTTCTAAAATGCCAATCCAACAGATCATATTGTTAGTCAGCAAGAGTTAAATGCAGGTACAGTTATCGGCCCCTGTTTTACACATGAATAAGACACGGCTGATCGGTTGAAGGCTGCCTAAGCGCAACCGAAGGCCGATTTAAGGCCTTTTCTACATGATTTGTTTGTAATCTATACCTACCTCAAGTTAGTTGGCCTTCATTGCTTCTACTAAGATATTTCACAAGTGGTTGTATATGTTTCCTATTCATAACTATCATAAACCGGTTATCTCTTTCACTTTTGAAAAATATTAGTTCTTTCCGAGTATATCCTATTTTTTCAAAGAATCTATTACGAAACTTACTGTCCAAAATGGAGGACAGCTCATATGTGACGTTGCCGTCTTTGCTGAGATCGTCATCAGTTGCTGTGTAGGTGGCTATTACAGTTCCAGGCGATGACGTTTCCGGCAGAGTGGTGTCAGCAGGATCTGTGGCCCACACCGGGGAGTGCTCATTGACTGGTAACACCTATGGGGAGGGTGATAGTACTTGATAGTATTGATGCTAAATACTTTTACCTGTTGATCCTAAACACGTTTACCTGTCTGCTGATCTTAAATACGTTTACCTGCTGATGCTAAATACGTTTACCTGTTGATGCTAAATACTTTTACCTGTTGATACTTAACACGTGTACGTGTCTCTTGATGCTAAATGCGTTTACCTGTTGATCCTAAATGTGCTTACCTGTTTGTTGATCCTAAATGCGTTTACCTGCTGATCCTAGATGTGCTAACCTGCTTGTTGATCCTAAATGCGTTTACCTGTTGATCCTAAACACGTTACCTGTCTGCTAATGCTAAATACGTTTACCTGCTGATCCTAAATACGTTTACCTGTTGATGCTAAATACTTTTACCTGTTGATACTAAACACGTGTACGTGTCTCTTGATGCTAAATGAGTTTACCTGTTGATCCTAAATGTGCTTACCTGTTTGTTGATCCTAAATGCGTTTACCTGCTGATCCTAGATGTGCTTACCTGCTTGTTGATCCTAAATGCGTTTACCTGTTGATCCTAAATGTACTTACCTGTTTGTTGATCCTAAATACGTCTATGCTGTTGATCCTAAACACGTTTACCTGTCTGCTAATGCTAAATACGTGTACCTGCTGATCCTAAATACGTGCTTACCTGATTGTTGATCCTAAAAAGTTTACCGGTTGATCCTAAATACGCTTACCTGTCTGTTCATCCTAAATACGTCGATGGTACTGTTAAATAAATTCTCAACGTGTCACAATTATGGCAAAGAGAACGTTTTTAGATTTGTGTTGTGGATATAAGTAAACGCATTTTAATCGTGTACGTACTGTGACGACAACTACAGCAACAGCCGCCTTCGCCGCCTCCGTCGTCGGCTGATCCACGGCTTGCACGGTCAGGGTGTACAGGAAGTTGGTGGAACTCAGAGCCTCGTAGTCGACTGCTGTAAATGTGGTCAGGAGATCAAGGCCATTTAGTCGGAACTTCTCGTTCGGGTTTGCATCGTCCCCACTCACAATGGAGACGACAACGTTGCTGTTATCACCGTCATCGTCGTCAGTAACACTAAACGTCTTCACCAATGCGTCTGTCGAACAGAAATATGACATACTCTAGATATTGCAATAGCGTAAACTTGCGAAAAAAGCGAAATCATCTAAAACTCGCCAAAATCCGGTTTGGTTGGGTACACAATCTTATTCAAACGTTTACAGTTTTTTTTCGTTATCTGGCTTAGAACGTCAATGTATAACAGAGCCTTACAGCGCCACAGACTCGGCAAAATGAGACACCGTATAGATTTGAGCGAGTATGGTTTTACGCCGCTCTCAACAATATACCATAAATGGGCTTCACATTTTTTATATGAGGAATCGAACCCTGAGGCCTTCGGCGCTATGACCGAAAGACCTAACCACTAAGCTTCCTCACAGACCCTTATGGTTTTGAACTTATCAGATGTGTTCATATTGTTCATATGAAAGGACCGCCTCCGTGGTGTAGTGGTTTGAGCGTCCACCTGGAGAGCGGAAGGTCGCGGGTTCGATCCCCGACCGCCTCATACCAAAAGACGTTATAATATGGTACTTGTTGGTCCCTGCCTGGCGCTCAGCATTAATGTGTTCAACAAGGACTGGTCGGCTCGGAGTCAGTATAATGTGTCTGAGTGGGGTATGCTTCACTGCGGCATGGTATCTCAGTGGGCTAGCACTATAAAACCAGCTTAAGTCTGGGCTAGTACAAGCAGCCGCACATACACATACACACGCATGCACGTCGTCATATGAGCGAAATATTCTCAAGCACGACGTTAAACCCAATTTCACCTCACCCCACCTCTTATGAAAGAGAACTCGATTTCAAATAAAATTGTATTGTCCATGCAATTATTACAAAGGTTTCTGTGACGTAAATATTTGTCTGTCCTGTTGAGCGACCCTTTTCATTGATTCCTGGGTCATACCCAAAAACGATAAAAGATGGTTCTTTTTGTTTCCGTGCCTAGCCCGCAGCATTCCGGGAATAAAACAAGGTTCCGTTAGTGCACGTCTCTTTATAAATGTAAAGATGTTAAACTCCGTGTTACCACCTCGTCCTTTACTTGATGTGGACCACCTCCGTGGTGTAGTGGTTAGAGCGTCCGCCCGGAGAGCAGAAGGTCGCGGGTTCCATCCCCGACCGTGTCACATCAAAAGACGTTAAACTATGGTACTTGTTGGTCCCTGCCTGGCGCTCGGCATTGATGGGTATATAACAAGGACTGGTCGGCTCGGAGTCAGAATAATGTGTCGGAGTGGGGTATTCATGCTTCACTGCGGCATGGTATCTCCAGTGGGCTAGCACTATAAAACCAGCTTAAGTCTGGGCTAGTACAAGCAGCCGCGCATACACATACACCATGCACGTCGTCATATGATCGAAAATATTCTCAAGCACGACGTTAAACCCAATTTCACCTCACCCCACCTCTTATGAAAGAGAACTCGATTTCAAATAAAATTGTATTGTCCATGCAATTATTACAAAGGTTTCTGTGACGTAAATATTTGTCTGTCCTGTTGAGCGACCCTTTTCATTGATTCCTGGGTCATACCCAAAAACGATAAAAGATGGTTCTTTTTGTTTCCGTGCCTAGCCCGCAGCATTCCGGGAATAAAACAAGGTTCCGTTAGTGCACGTCTCTTTATAAATGTAAAGATGTTAAACTCCGTGTTACCACCTCGTCCTTTACTTGATGTGGACCACCTCCGTGGTGTAGTGGTTAGAGCGTCCGCCCGGAGAGCAGAAGGTCGCGGGTTCCATCCCCGACCGTGTCACATCAAAAGACGTTAAACTATGGTACTTGTTGGTCCCTGCCTGGCGCTCGGCATTGATGGGTATAACAAGGACTGGTCGGCTCGGAGTCAGAATAATGTGTCGGAGTGGGGTATTCATGCTTCGCTGCGGCATGGTATCTCAGTGGGCTAGCACTATAAAACCAGCTTCAGTCTGGGCTAGTACAAGCAGCCGCACACGCATGCACGTCGTCATATGAGCGAAATATTCTCAAGCACGGCGTTAAACCCAATTCCACCTCACCGCACCTACTTGATGTGATGCCGTTAAGATTGGATCCACTTTCTACAGCAACAAGGATGCTATTTCTCCACAGTATAACATGTACACTGTACTTTCATCCACTTTCTGCAGCAATATGGAGGATGATATTTCTCTTCTTGGATCAACCTAAGGCAGACATACGGATGCTATTTCTCCTCAGTATAAAGTATATACTGTACTTGGATCCACCTAGTGCAGACATAAGGCTGCTATTTCCCCTCAGTATAACATGTAGTTTCAACAGAAACATATTGTGCACGTAAGACGTAACCTTTTATATTTGGTGTAATAATTTATCTTAGACTGTGAAAAGGAAATGTACAAATTCTGAATAAGTCCGGCGGAAAACCCTCGCCGTGGTGTAGGTCAAAACCCCTCACCTATTCCCGTGTTTTCCATCAAATTTACGAAGATGACGTCGCTGGTGAATTGTGGACTGTTGTCGTTGATGTCCACAACGTCAAAGGTGAGTGGTTGAGAAAACGTCATAGCTGCAACGTCAGTGACCTTCAAGGTGACGTCCGTGATAGCGGTTAAACCTGTGTCTCGGTCGATTCTCTGGGCGACGGTTATCAAGCCGCTGATGCTGTCTATGTTGAAGTAGGAACTCTCTGTGCCTGGCAAGACAAGCAAAAAATTATTCTACTTTTCATTTCATTCGCACCATGCCATCATACTGCCTGAATTAGGCCTAGTTTGACAAAATACAATTCTTAAAAGTAAACAAAGATTGTGTTTATTCAAAACCAACCCCGCACCTCCTTCTTTAACCATCTTAAAATCCACAATAATGTGAACATTGCCTAAATAGATATTTGGCTCATCATACATTATTATTATTATTTAACATTGGAGAATCAGGGTCGGGGAGGTAGCACAGTGGTTACAGCGTTCGCTCGGCCTGCTGAAGGGTAAAGGTTCGATTCCCCATGTTGGGGCAATATGTAAAGGCTTCAGGTTAACCGGACCGTGATATTGTTTGAAGATTGCCAAAATAAGCTCATTACGAAAGCTCAACTGACTCACAGTATAGCAATTGTGTTGTGGAGACACCGTGCATGTGTTGTGGAGACACCGTGCATGTGTTGTGGAGACACCGTGCATGTGTTGTGGAGCCACCGTGCATGTGTTGTGGAGCCACCGTGCATGTGTTGTGGAGCCACCGTGCATGTGTTGTGGAGCCACCGTGCATGTGTTGTGGAGACACCGTGCATGTGTTGTGGAGACACCGTGCATGTGTTGTGGAGACACCGTGCATGTGTTGTGGAGCCACCGTGCATGTGTTGTGGAGACACCGTGCATGTGTTGTGGAGACACCGTGCATGTGTTGTGGAGACACCGTGCATGTGTTGTGGAGCACCGTGCATGTGTTGTGGAGACACCGTGCATGTGTTGTGGAGACACCGTGCATGTGTTGTGGAGACACCGTGCATGTGTTGTGGAGACACCGTGCATGTGTTGTGGAACCACATGTGTTGTGGAGACACCGTGCATGTGTTGTGGAGAGATGTGTCATCTTCATGCATTTGTTTTGTTTTATCGTTTGCTTGTTTAACGCAGCAATATTCAGCAATATTCAACAATATTCAGCAATATTCAACAATATTCAGCAATATTCCAGCTGTGGCGGCGGTCTGTAAATAACATCAACATCGGGTGATCAACATCATGAGCTTCTATCTTCACAACTGGGATACGATGACATGTGTCAACCATGTCGGCGAGCCTGACCTGCCGACCCCGTTAGTCGCCTCTTACGACAAGCATGGGTTACTGAAGATCAATTCTAACCCGGATCTTTACGGGTCTGTTCATCTCGAATTGATAGCCAAAGAATGTTAGTTTCTGCCTAATCGAGCACCTTCCTTGAATACTGCGATACATACCCTCAGGCGCGGCGGGGTAGCCTAGTGGTTAAAGCGTTCGCTCGTCACGTCGAAGACCCGGGTTCGATTCCCTGCATGTGTACAATGTGTGAAGCCCATTTTTTGTGTCACCCGCCGTGATATTGCTGAAAGCGGCGTAAAACCAAACTCACTCACTTACATACCTTCAAGACTATAGATAAGCACGTCGTCTTTGTCTTTCTCTGTGACGTCATAAACGCCCCCTAACGGCGTGCCAACTGGAAGTTCTTCAACAATGGAGAGTGGATTGTGGACAGTTATGACAGTGGGTTCGTCGATGATGTCGGTAACGTTGATATTGACGGCGGCATCGGTCTCATGAACACCGTCACTCGCTCTGAAATAATGAAAAATTCGGGAGTACATGCTCTGTACAGTTCAGAAAGAAACATGAATAAATACAGGCTCTGTACAGTTTCAGTTAGAAACATGAGTAAAAGAGGCTCTGTACAATTCAGTAAGAAACATGAGTAAAAGAGGCTCTGTACAGTTCAGTAAGAAACATGAGTAAAACAGGCTCTGTACAGTTCAGTAAGAAACATGAGTAAAACAGGCTCTGTATAGTTCAGTAGGAAACATGAGTAAAACAGGCTCTGTACAGTTCAGTAGGAAACAGGTAAAACAGGCTCTGTACAGTTCAGTAGGAAACATGAGTAAAAAACATGAGTAGGAAACAACAGGCTCTGTACAATTCAGTAAGAAACATGAGTAAAACAGGCTCTGTACAGTTCAGTAAGAAACATGAGTAAAACAGGCTCTGTACAGTTCAGTAGGAAACAGTAAAAACAGGCTCTGTACAGTTCAGTAGGAAACATGAAAAACAGGCTCTGTACAGTTCAGTAGGAAACATGAGTAAAACAGGCTCTGTACAGTTCAGTAAGAAACATGAGTAAAACAGGCTCTGTACAGTTCAGTAGGAAACATGAGTAAAACAGGCTCTGTACAGTTCAGTAGGAAACATGAGTAAAACAGGCTCTGTACAGTTCAGTAGGAAACATGAGTAAAACAGGCTCTGTACAGTTCAGTAGGAAACATGAGTAAAAACAGGCTCTGTACAGTTCAGTAAGAAACATGAGTAAAACAGGCTCTGTACAGTTCAGTAGGAAACATGAGTAAAAACAGGCTCTGTACAGTTCAGTAGGAAACATGAGTAAAAACAGGCTCTTTACAGTTCAGTAAGAAACATGAGTAAAACAGGCTCTGTACAGTTCAGTAGGAAACATGAGTAAAACAGGCTCTGTACAGTTCAGTAAGAAACATGAGTAAAACAAAGGCTCTGTATAGGAAAGAAACATGAGTAAAACAGGCTCTGTACAGTTCAGTAAGAAACATGAGTAAAACAGGCTCTGTACAGTTCAGTAGGAAACATGAGTAAAACAGGCTCTGTACAGTTCAGTAGGAAACATGAGTAAAAACAGGCTCTGTACAATTCAGTAAGAAACATGAGTAAAACAGGCTCTGTACAGTTCAGTAAAGAAACATGAGTAAAACAGCCTCTGAAGAGTACGTTAGTCTGTTTTTACTCATGTTTCAATTACAAATATGGCAGAGGCTGGATATTTTATTCAACATATGTCTATGACATAACGTATTCGCAATTTCAAGTTGAGACGAGGCAAACCGACGAAGGAATGCATCAACAACAATCCACGCCGTCGGGGTACAGTGGCAAAATCATTGTACAAAATACGATATTGTTATGTGACTTCCAATATTATCGAATTATTCCTAGTTACAAACAAATATTTCAACTAAACCTTGTATATTCGACCTACCTGACTGTCAGGAAGTAGTAACGTTGTGTTTCATAGTCAAGCGGACTGTTCAGATACACCTTGGGCGGGGCATAGTAAAACATGTCGCTGCCTTCCCCAGACAATGTGAACGTCAATGTGTCACCGTCAGCGTCAGTAGCTTCCGCGACGACCTCCCCTGACGCAACGTCCTCAACGAGTTCACTGTAGTATATCTGCTGTGTAAATGCAGGGGCGTTGTCGTTTTCGCCAGTCACTGTGATCGTAACAGATGCCTGGACAGTTTTGCTGCAGCAGTCTGAAGCCTGGATTACAACGTCATAAGATGGGTCGCCACCTGTCGACGTATCTGCGTCAAGAGGGGAGGTAACTCTCAACTCGCCACTTTTCGAGTCCAGGGATAACATTCCACTTCCATCCGACCCCGAAGCTATGAAATTGAAATAAAAATAGTTTCAGAAGCTGAACAAGTTAGCTTCATTGCTTGTGTTCTCAATTAATGAGATATACGACTGATTCTTACCAGATGTGATGCTGATTATACTATACGTGACGTCACCATGTTCTGTGAAATCGTCATCAGTTGCTGTGTACGTGTCGACAAGGGAACCTCCAGGAGCTGTCTCTGACACTGAGGTGTCAGCTGGTTGGGTAGTCCACACTGGACTGTGTTCGTTCTCGGGGTCAACCTGCGCACAACATGAATTGACATTACAACGAGCGAAAGAGTTCAAAGGAAACAGTTCACTCTACCCCCATGTATCATGTACAGTTCAGCGACCCTTGAAAATCCGGTTTAGAGTTGATCTTCAGTAACCCATGCTTGTCGTAAGAGGCGGCTAACGGGATCGGGTGGTCAGATCGCTGGATTGTCTGGTCCAGAGTCCCAATTGCGTAGATGGATGATCATGCTGTTGATCACTGGAATATCTGGTCCAGAGTCGAATATTTACAAGTAAAGTTTTGCCCTGAATTGTTAAAGTTAAAGCATGAGAAGGCTTAAAGAATTTTCAATTTTATTGGTTTTGTTATTTTGTTTTCTTTTTGTGTTGTCGTAAGCCACATTCGACTACATGCTTACATCTTTACTTCCAGTATACGTTTAGATCAGTACATCTAGACAAGCTGTACTCGGTGGACAGCTGACTGACTGACGAGTGGTTTTACACATATTGCAAAAACATGACGGGGAACACCAGAAATGGAAGCTTCTACACATTGTATGAATTCGAACCCGGGTCTTCGGCGTAACGATTGACTCAGTAATAATTCTTCCACCGTCCTCATCTTATGACGCCATTGACTCAGTTACTTCACGTCAATACGCACCGTCTTCGGCTCATACTCTGTGGCCTTGTCGGTGATCATTTACTTATTAACCAACCCCTTCAAAAAGCTAAGACGAACCTTAATTACTGCAACAGTATTTCCGGTCATGCGTTCATTTTATGTGGAATCGAGAGTAGCAGCTCTCTCACTCATCCCTTCACGTCCTCAAGACGTACCTTAATTACTGCAACGGTAGTTCCGGTCCTGGGCTCATATTCCGTGGCCTTGTCGGTAGCCACAAAGGTGAGAGTGGACGTGAAGGCCGTGCCCGCCAGACTTTCATAATCCAGTTTGTTGGCGTCCACCGATAACTGGAGTGTACTTGGGTCAAAAGTAAACGCTGGGTCGCTCGGGTCGTCGCCATCCATCGTGACGTCAAAGTCCGCGTTCACTCCGCTGTCGGCGTCAGTGATGGTCAGTTGGAGGAGAGAAACTTGATAAGAAATATGATAATACGAAAACATGTAATGATAAAACGATGATATTGCGATAATATGTTTTACCAATGTAATAAAAATATGATTATGCACGGATATGTAAAGATACGCATTATATTTCAACTTCGTTGTTGGACAATACCATATAATATCGGAGATGGATATTCAATATCAATCTGGTTCATATTTTGTAATAACCCAAAAGCTTCTAAAGTCGACTTAGGTTAGGTTAAGTAGAATATTAGAATTAAGAGTGGCACCGGTTACTAGAAAAGGTGGATCGATGTCTGGGAGACACTAATAAAAATATGATACGCTAATTGAATTTTAAATAAATTATGGCGGACCTAAGTACCTAATGTCCTATTATGGTTAGCAATGCAATCTCATTACACATTCGTGACCCACTCGTGATACTCCGGGACAAGCCCGTCTGGAAGGATTTCATATTGACGCATGAACATCAGAACTACTTTAAACAATGCGATAACTCTCTTGTTTGATTCCGATGGAACTTATATCACCGAAGCCCTCGAATATTGCATTGCCATTTTTGTTTTCGTTTTTATTTATTTAGTTTAAAGAATTAAACCTCTAAAACACCTGCAACTAAAAGAAGGTTGAAGATGTTTGTTAAAAACACACTCTAACGTAATAAACTACCAGCTGGTCATCTTATGTTTCCAAATATATATTTCTAAATACCGTTTAAGAATTACTTCATGAGATTTTTTAATTGCATATGCAAATAAAATTTTATTTCACTATTAAACCCCAAAGCAGATAAAAAATTCCTTCAGAATATTTCCTTCTGTGTAACTTTGCTGCCAGACCATTTTAAATTTTAGAATACTCTCATAAATGACCCCTGAAAGTCAGACTGAAGTATCCCCAGAGATGTGAAATCTAAGCCCGGTGATAAAGATTAAATTAATTATATGTAGATGTAACAGTATTGATTTAAAACTCGTAGCGATTTATCATTTCACACACACACACACACACAACTGTTAGACATCTCACAACACACACACACACACACACACACACACACACACACACACCTAAAACTGTTAGAATCTCCAACATGTCGCACATACAATCTCCAACACAAGCCCGCAAAACCGTCAGAAATACGTATACACTCAATAGGTCCCACGAGAGCCGTTATGTCAACAAACGCATGTGAGTGTATTTGAATCTCTGATCGTCAGTCGCATTATTCTTATCACAAGCTTCACATTAGGCAGCACAATTCTGTTAGCTACGTTCTTTGTACTTTCAATATGACGATGTGTATTTTGCATGATTTTGGAAACAATCACATAATGCCATAAACGATTTAATTACTCGGGATTATTTTTATCAAATCACCGCAATCATTACGCGCGTTCTGATTGGTTTGTTGTATTTTCGCACATAACAAGCATCGAGAGGGGGACGAGTCTTCTTGGAGGTTACGGAAAGGGGCGAGTGGTGACGAATGCGGTATTCGGCTTGTTCCGGAATAACACGGGTGGGTCACGAATGAGAGCATCTCATTACCGGACGCATTTGAACGAACTTTCACCGACCAAAGATGTCAAAGTGTAATGGGACACCAGCCAATCAGAAAGCAGCTTTTTCGAGCTGTTCGCCTCATGTTTAAGTGGGTTGACTTGCCCGGAATGCTTTGTGTTAAGCTTTCGGAATTTCATGCTTTCTCTCTGATTTGGAAGATGATTCTCGATTGGTTGTTCTTTAACGCCGCAATCTGCATTCTAAGTATATGGCGGCGGTCTGTAAATAATCGAGTCTAGACCAAACAGTCCAGTGATCAGCAGCATGAACATCAATCTAATTACCATACGGTGACATGTGTCAACCAAGTCAGCAAGCCTGACCACCTGATCCCGTTAGTCGCCTCTTTCGACAAGCATGGGTTACTGAAGATCAATTCTAACCCGGATCTTCACGGATCGATGATTCTCGAATGTCCTCGGATCTTTGCATAGGAGTGGGGAGCTTAAGGCCCGATATTAACGAGTCTGTTAACACTCAACATGCTTTTACTTTAAACCGTCAGTGACGTTATTCCAACAACATTATATTGTTTACTCACGTATTAATTCCTCACACATTAATCCGATGTACGATACCGAAATCGGGGTTTTGGTAATTTATAGATAAATGTTTGAAATATTGCCGATGTGACGTTTAATTCTAATCCCCTCTTCAGGTGGCAAAAATATCAATGGCTAAGCTTCCAACAGTGTATCAAAAACACATCCGTTGTCTCTAGTGTTGATACCCGTAGCTTGAGACCCTTCGCTGTAAGGAGCTAGCAGCTTCACGGGCATGCGAACACACGCACAGAATGGGCTTCAGGAATTCCGGAAACGGATGGGAAAGGGACTGGAAGCAACAGAATGATGACGTGCCTACCTGTGCCCGCCCCCTCGGTGACCGCAGCATTGTACACAGGTTGTGAGAAAAGTGGTTTCATGTCATTCACATCTTTCACAGTAAAGGTCAAGGTTGTTGAGTTGGTATTCGATCCAAGGTCAGTGACGGTCAAGGTCAGTTGATCAAGTTGTGTGATACTATTTGGCGGGTCAAAGTCTATTCTGGCTGCGACCTTTAACCGTCCGTCTGAATTTACCTCGAAATAACCGGCATGTGTACCTGAAAGGAGACAGTGGTTTCATACACTACTGTCAAGATGTCAACTTTCGGGGATGACGTTTGATTGCTTATTACTGATCAAACAGGTAAATACTTGTTTAATACTGACCAAACAGAAAATACTTGTTTGAGGATTTCCAATCGGGAAATACTTTTTTAATACTTGCCAGACAGGAAATACTTGCTTAATACTGGCCACACAGGGAATACTTGCTTAATACTGACCCCACAGGGAATACTTGATTAATACTGAGCAGACAGTGAATACTTGATTAATATTGTCCAGAAATGGAGTACTTGAATAATAAGCCTACTGACCAAACACGAAACATTTGATTAATACTAGTCAGACAGAGAATACTTGATTAATACTGAGCAGAGAGATAATACTTGATTTACACTGGCCAAACAGGGAATGCGGAAATACTTGATTAATACTGACTAAACAGGGAATACTTTATTAATACTGGCCAAACATGTAATACTTGCATCGCTGATACTGACCAAACAGGAAATACTTGATTAATACTGGCCAGACATCAAATACTTGATAAATACTGGCCAGACATCAAATACTTGATAAATACTGGCCAGACATCAAATACTTGATAAATACTGGCCAGACATCAAATACTTGATTAATACTGGTCAGACATCAAATACTTGATAAATACTGGCCAGACATCAAATACTTGATTAATACTGGCCAGACGGGAAATGATGACCTATACTAACCAAGAGCTTGTGTTATACTAATTAAACAAGGAATGTTATCGCTATACAGACCGGACAGGGAGTACGTCAGCTGGTCACCCTCGTCGCTGTCGCTAACTGTGAGTCCGCTGTCGATGAAGCTGCCGATAGGAAGTTCTTCAGGTAGTGACACAGACATGGCGTCCACGTTGGGAGGCTCGTCGAAGGCGTTCACAAGGTTGATTGTCAGAGTAGTGTTTACCATATTGGCACCATCGTGAATCCTAGTAAAACACCAATAAATAATTTCATATGTTCTCAGAAAGTATATTCATCTCTCCTGAAGAACTACCAGTGTGACCAAGGGCTTGTTTGTGTGAATACGTACAATTTGTTTTGGTTATTATTAAATGACGATGACGTTCATGCTGTCACACTGCTACACGACTAATCAGTTGTATAAGTGAACCATGTGTATTTCGATCCTTTAAATATCACGCTCTGAACTAAAACTGTATACATACTTTAGTTGAGACGGTTTAAGTCAAACTTGTCATTACGTTACATTTAATAGGAGAAGCTAGCGTGAATTACCATTTAAACATCGGGTTCATCGATCCAAGTCGGGACAGGGCTGAATAATTCAGCGCAAATGGTTAACAATAGTTTTCGGCTGCATTCAGCGTTATAGTCAATGCAGGGTGACATGACAACCTTTTGAACTAGACTGTCTATATATTCATGACAGTACGCTATATCTTAATTTATTCATGACACTTTCCTTTTGTTTTCTCAAGTCATGAAGGGTTTTCTGCCTTAAAACAACCACATTTTCATTCCCCTTTTCCTCGCCTGTGATGTGCTGTCTATCTCGAATCAAACGGTGACCACGTGACTTAGATCAGCCAATGAATTTCCCTTAACCTTCCCTCCACCTTCCCTCTAACAAAATGACCATGTGGCGACTTACACATTACTACACTCACTCACTCACGTGATTTTCACATGGTAGGAACATTCAGTTTCATAGTCCAGAGCAATCAGGTTGGTCAGATCGTTCCCGGAAAACACGAAGGAGGTGCTGTCATCCAAGATGTAGCCTGTCACGGTGTCGCCGTCAGAGTCGGATGTTGCTATGGTGTAGAGGACCGTCCCTACCGTCGACGTCTCCGTCAGGGTAATCTCAGTGCTTCCGTCCGGTGCGGGGTTCAGGAACACGGGATCATTGTCTGCAATATTACAAGCGAGTTGGATTAGTGAGAGTAATTTTACTTAGGATTTAGCAATATTCCAACAATATCATGGAGGGAGATAGCAGAATTCGTCTTCAGACATTGCACCCATCTGGAGTTTCAAACCCTGGCCTTCGGCGAGACATACAACGCCACAACAACCAGGGCCTCGTTTAACAAAAGGGGGCGGTGGGGTAGCCTAGTGGTAAAGCGTTCGCTCGTCACGTCGAAGACCCGGGTTCGACTCCCCACACGGGTACAATGTGTGAAGCTCATTTCTGGTGTCCCTCGCCGTGATATTGCTGGAATATTGCTAAAATCGGCATAAAACTAAACTCACTCACGCACTCACTCATTTAACAAAACGAGACCTACGACAAATGGTTTGTGCAACGGGCTCCAGGGCTTCGTTCCATAGTGTTAAAGAATCGCTTCAACTGTCTAAAGTCTATGTTTGTGAGTTACTATCACCATAGCGATACCAACGCTTGTATGACGGTAGCAGTGGGGAGGTGGGGTAGCCTAGTGATTAAAGCGTTCGCTTCTCACGCTGAAGACCCAGGTTCGTTTCCCGACCTGGGTACAAAATGTGAAGCCCATTTCTGTTGTCCCTTCCGGTTTTTCTGGAATATTGCTAACCGCGGCCTAAAGCCATACTCACTCGCTCACTCTGGTGTCCCCCACCGTGATATAATGCCCGGAAGCAAACAATTCCAAGGCTACAGGCCCGCACTAATAGTAGAGCGAGTGTCTGTTTGGTTAATGTTGGTTAATAATCCACGTTGGCGTCTAAGAGTTGTTTTCATGCGCCGTTGCACATATTATTGCAGAAAATATCGATTTTGAATTTCCTGCTTTTCACGTGAAACTATATTATCCAATCAGAGACTTGCTCTGTTCGGTGCGGGCCTGTAACCTTAGAGTTGTTTACCACACTCCGGCACAGCGATGACTAACGTAACATCACTGCCACAGGCTAATTTGCATATCACGTGACCGGACTTTTCTCTTGTTTGTAATCAAACGCGCATATTCATAAGAAGAAGAGGCTGGACTCACGAAAGATTTTCGGCACTCTCTTCATAATGTTTTACATTGTTACATATATATTCTTCCACAATTGCGACAGTTAGGTCTATGACAGTACATATTTAGATATCAAACTGGCTGCATCGTTTGCTCTCCGTCGGCTTCGATGACTGCACGTGGAGCCGTACAACCTATGTAAACAAAGGATCGCTACGCAAATCGAAATAGTGTTACATGTTTTTGGATATTTTCTCGGTGAAACTAAACCCTTCTGTTAAAGATGTTTAGTTAGATGTATAGACTCGTCAAAAATAAAAGAGTGAAAAAATATGTACATTATATTGAATGGACATTGCAAGATGTGACGAATCGTCACATTTTTCTGGCCTGTGGCAGAGGTACTATGCTGGCTTGCCGCATGGAACTCTGGGTAGGAGAGTGGTTGTTTACTTCCGGGCATATGTCTTAAATTCGGGCGAGAATAGAAAGCAAAATTAATAAAGCTTCAAATGGTAATAAAATCATAACGTCAACTGAGTGTAAATTGTGCAGTTTATTCAACGGTCAAGGCGATGGAAGCGCTTGTCAGACCGAAACCGAGTCGAGACGCCATTTTGTTTCGATTTACGGACACACCTTATGTAGATAGGTCATACTTATAAACATGTAAGAGTCGGGCACCTATGATATTATCCAGTCAACAGTGAAACAGTTATTAAGGAAAACACCTCAAATCATGTTATTATCTGTTTGCATTGAAAAATGGCATAACATATAGTATGACCAGAAATTATTGAGAATTTTAGGAATATGTTTAATTGGATTTCTAGTATAAACAACCTTGACCAGCTATCAAGTGTTTGATTTTATTCAAGAGAGACAACTCCGTTATTCCTTTTTCATTAGTTTGTAAAGAGTTATCCCCCTTTGTTTACTTGCTAGCAGACGACATTTTCAGGGACCCTCAGTATGGATGATTTAGAGAAGAGGAAGTTGATTTTAGAGTATTATAACAAGGACACCAGATCAGCTAAAGTTATTTCTAGTAGAACAGGCACCCCTTTGTCCACTGTTTATCGTGTTTTGAAAAATATTGCAAATGGATATGGCATTGAGCACCAGGGAGGCACATGTAGGCCCAGAAAATTGACTGTCGGTGACAGGAGGCGGCTTAATTGGTATTCTTGTTTCTCAAAACAACGAAGGAGTTTAGAAAACTTAAGGCTGGATATGATTGATAGAGGAACTGTGTCTGTCTGTAAGGCGACACTTAGAACTGAGTTGCATGCAATGGGTTGGCAGAAAAGTGGAGGAATTCCATCACCGATCATGAAACCTGAACAAAAAGAGCGACGGTTGAACTGGTGCTTACAGCATTGAAACTTTAACTGGGACAATGTGATTTTCTCAGGTGAACGTTCTGTGTGACTGTTTCCTAATACACTGAAATTCTGGACCAAACAAACTGAAAAATCTTTGTATCAGCGCCCAAAGTACAGTCCGAAATTTAACGTGTTGGGTGGCATATCTGTGTTAGGGGCAACGCCCCTCTGTGTATTTGAAGGGAACAGGAACAGTGAGCAGTACACAGATATTCTCGGGGGACATTTACTTCCATCTGCTTACGTGTTCTGTGGAAATTTTTCGATTTTCCAGCAGGACAAGGACCCAAAATATGACATTATTAGATTGGCCAAGCTATAGCCCTGACCTAAATCCAATAGAAATCTTTGGGGACTTATGAAGGAAAGTGTCAATAAGAAAAATCTGACAAATATTGCTGAAATGAAAGAAGAGGTGGTCCGATATCCGGACAGCATGGACCACGACTTTCTCACTTCTTGATCAGTAGTATGCCCCGCCGCACTGAAGCCTGCATTGCTGCCCATGGTGACTTGAGAAAGTACTAACTTTTCACCTGTCTTTGAATCTGGAGTTATGTTCTGCTAATATTCACATTTAATACGTGGGTTATGAGTGAAAAAATTTTACAGTCTTAAATTCACAATAATTTTTGGTTGTACTGTAATCCACAGTTACTTTATTTCAGTAGTATCTATGTAAATATGTTCAGTGATCGATCGTGAATATCGATCTTTTCCATGACTCTAACTCTGCTGTAAATGCTAATTGCGTACATACGTACCTACGGACAGATAGATCGATCCGCCATACAAATCGGTTATCTCGAACACGGCATAAACAGCCTCTTCGGTTAAACCGTTAGTGATAGCGATGATAGTGTTAACGCCAACAGCGTAATCGGTCCCAAGGGCCACATTCCCAGCCAGATCCCACGATACCCAGAAAAAGCGGTAGTCCGAACAGTCGAGGTAGGTTCCGGGTGAGAAGTTCACGATGTTGCAGTTGCCGTCGGCGTCACAGTCTGCACTAGGGATGATCAAGGCGTAAGTGTTGGTGTAGAAGCCGACGTATATGATGAAATAAGTGGTTCCGGATTTCGTGTACACCGTCAGGGCTACTTCCGTGCACGCCATTGCACCGAAGATCATACTACGGCGTTCGTATGGGGACCAACCAATATGACCCAGTTCAAATTTACTGCCTGAGTCGATGTTTATCAATTCCCATGTTCCTGTAAAGGAAAGAGGTTAAGGTACATTTCTTCAAAAGTTGTTTCCAGTTCGCTAATAGTAAAGACCCATAATTACATACGATGACTATGCACCTGCGGGTTGATCTCATTAAGTTCAAGTGAATGTTCAGGGTGAATGTTCAGGGTAAATGTTCAAGGTGAATGTTCAAGGTAAATGTTCAGGGTGAATGTTCAAGGCGAATGTTCAAGGTAAATGTTCAAATTGAATTCAAGGTGAATGTTCAGGGCGAATGAAATGTTCAAGGCGAATGAAGGTGAATGTTCAGGGTAAATGTTCAGGGCAAATGATCAAGGTGAATGTTTATGGTCAAAGTTCAAGTTCAATAATCAATGTGAATGTTCAGGGTAAATGTTCAAGGTGAATATTCAGGGTGAATGTTTAAGGGCGAATGTTCAAGGTGAATGTATAAGGTAAATGTTCAAGGATGAATGTTCAAGGGCCAATGTTCAAGGTGAATGTTCAGGGTGAATGTTCAGGGTGAATGATAAAGGTGAATGTTTAAGGGTGACAGTTCAATGGCGAATGTTCAAGGTGAATCTTCAGAGTGAATGTTCAAGGGCGAATGTTCAAGGTGAATGTTTAAGATGAATTTAAAGGTGAATGTTCAGGGTGAATGTTAGCGCTTAGACAAGGCCCTGTCGTGAACGTGGCTTGACGGAATGACACGAGCAGTTACGAATGATAAGAATGATGCACGTGTAACTGCATCATTGAGGAATTTGTTGAAATTGTGGAATTTGAAATAACAAATATATGTAAATATGTCTTTCGGATAAAACCACAGATTGAATTGATTATTTGATTTCATCTGGCAGTTTTAGTTCTGAATCTCTGAAAGAGCGGAAAAACACTGTAAGCACAAAACATGTGGGGTGTTTCGCCTCAATCTGGTCATACTCAAATTCACATCTTTGCAGTTAAACTGTTGTTCGTGGGTATGTTGTATGTGTTTCTCATTTCTTTCTCCACCAGCAAGATATCGGGTGGGCAAACAGGATAAATATAAATAAAATGCTAAAACAATGTTTTTCACTTATTCTGTAACATATTTTCATAAATTTGTAAAAATTAGATCATTAGGAATACTTTAAATTGGTTTAATTTGAAAACAGAGTCTCTTTGCTTCACGAACTTATTTTGAAGTAAAAATGTTTGAAATTTAAGGTGACCTGATTTTTATGATTTTTCAAGGCCAAGACTATTATTTTATCACAACCAGGGAATAAATAGTGGTTAAAGAGTTCGCTCGTCACACCGAAGACCCGGTTCGAATCCCAACATGGGTACAATGTGTGAAGCCCATTCTGGTGATCCCCGCCGTGATGTTGCTGGAATATTGCTAAAAGCGGCGTAAAACCAAATTCAGTCAGTCAGTCAGCCAAAGACCCGGGTTCGATTTCCAACATGGGTACATTGTGTGAAGCCCATTTCTGTCGACCGCCGTGATATTGCTGGGATGTTGCTAAAAGAAGCGTAAAACCATACACACTACATATGTTTTAAGGAAAAAAATCTTCAGCTATGTTTTTTTCATTAGTCGTAAAACCACACTCACTCACTCACTCACGTAGAAATGAAAATTCAGGGCGAGTGGTAGATAGACGACAAAAAGAAAAATACGGACAGCCTTATAAACGCTAAAAAGTAAAAAACGTCTTACCTGTTTCCACATACCCTGCGAGTAGGGTTACTATGGAAACCAGACACAGCAGTTTCGTTTCCATGTCCTTATATGGAAGTCTGATCACTTGGAGAGTTATTTCACTGGACCATGCCTGCAACGATGAATTTCTGTTATCAATTAAACAACAAAAAAATGACACACAAAAAACCCCAAAAGCTAACACAAAAAACAGTCTTAAAATGTTTTTACAAAAATACAAAGGTTTCTGTTTGTTGATGTTGTTGTTGCTGCTGTCGGTGAAGATCGGCAATGTTCCAATGGTTTTCTGTACATATAATGGCTACATGTTCGTTTTCTGTAACCACAATGCCCAATATAATAGCTATATAATGGCTTCCTGTACAGAATGGCTAATATAAAACTTATTTAATGGCTTCCAGTCTACATAATCTATGCTATAATGGCTAATATAATGGCTTCCTGTACTCATAAGCTAATGGCCAATATAAGGGCTATATAATGGCTGTGTAATGGTTTCCAGAACATATAATGGCTATATAATGGCTTCCTGTACTCATAAGCTAATGGTCGACATAAGGGCTATATAATGGCTGATATAATGGCTAATATAATGGCTTCCTGTACACATAGGCTCATGGCCAATATAAGGGCTATATATTGGCTGTGTAATGGTTTCCTGAACATAAACATTATCGAATTTCCTTGAGGCCAACAATTGACTTGCCCTTGCAAGTGTTTTTGATGTGTGCAACTTCCGGAAGAGGACGCGCTTACCTTACATCGCGCTCTCCTATTTGATAGTGACTCAACGCATGCTTAGGATTTCGTCAGAATCAAACAATGGATTCTCTTTTAGGCAGAGATTACTTATAATGTTGGAAACGATTCCAAACGGGGATCCAAATTAATATTGTTTAGTACAATGTGTACAATAACATGGCTGATGTGAGAGCGATACAACCAGTTGAGTGAGTGAGTATGGTTTTACGCCGCCTTTAGCAATATTCAAGCAATATCACGGCCGGAAACACCAGAAATTGGCCTCACACAATGTACCCATCTGGGGAATCGAACCCGGGTCTTCGGCTTGTCGAACGGACGCTTTACCCACTACCCGTGAAGATCCGGGTTAGAATTGATCCTCAGTAACCCATGCTTGTCGTAAGAGGCGACTAACGGGATCGGGTGGTCAGGCTCGCTGACTTAGTTGACCCACATGTCATCGCATCCCAATTGCGTAGATCGATGCTCATGATGTTGATCAGTGGATTTTCTGGTCCAGATTCGATTATTTACAAACCGCCGCCGTATAGCTGAAATGTTGCTAAGTGCGGCCTAAAATAAACTCACTCACCGAAAGCTAATAAACTGCTGAGTTTTTCTTCATTTGTCAGATATTTAACTGGGGCGGGTTTGCCAGAGTTACCGGCCCTGGTCGTTGTAAACATACCTGTCAAACCGGATCGTGGGAGAGGTTTCGGGATACGACATATTATTGGGTGGCTGTAACTTTATAAGGGACGGTAGGGTAGCTTAGTGGTTAAAGTGTTCGCTCGTCACGCTGAAGACCCGGAGTTCGATTCCCCACCTGGGTACAATATGTGAAGCCCATTTCTGGTGTCCCCCGTCGTGATATTGCTGGAATATTGCTAAAAGCGACGTAAAATTTAAACTCACTCACTCCTAAAGGGACAGGGGGTTGGTCGAATGGTTAAGGGTCTTTACCATGTTTGAATCCCTCGTTAGTACAAAATGGAGAGTCATGGCAGTGGTAGTGTTTAAATATTGACGCACATTGTTCATAGTGCAACTTACTCATAACTTATACATATTTTCTTATCCCAATAACGATCATACCTGGGAATTCAATGTTCGATTTCAAGAATTAATCGGACTGCCCTTGTCACATAAATGTCACTATGGTGTATCTGTAAAGAAACGTATAAGTCGTCTTATTTTTTTAATCGCACTTTAAAATGTCTATTAACACATATCTCTACGTCTTTTAGCCAGAATCTGATCGTATATCAGACCATGTATTAATTATGCCAGGTACATTTGACCCTAGTAAAGCTTTCAAAGGGTCTTGTGGCAGATATATGTAGTATTTCTATCTAAAGCAACAGTGACATAAATTATGTCCCATGTATTTCCCGTGCTTTTGTAGATTAACAATTGACTTGCCCCTGCGTGTGTTTGTGACCGGTGTCACCATTGTGTTCCATGTTTACAGTGATCCATAATATCGATATAGTTGGGATCCTGCAAAGGACTCTTTAACCTAAGAATTTTATAATAAAGTAATAATTCTGTCGCGTCTTTTTGATAAAATAATAAAACGACAATACACCTACCTCCACACACACACACACACGCACGCACACACACACACACGTTACATGTGTACTTCTGTAGAAATTTCTTGTTACTGTACACTAATCTCACCACTCTCAAAGAATTGAAGAAATTATATCTGCACCAAAGATCTTCAAATTTTTGTATTTTGTGTTATATATGTATGTATGTAATTATGTTCTGTACGTTCACATCTAGTTATGTTCTCATATATATAAGAGTCAATACTTACATACTCTCGACTTTAGTGGGTGTCGTGCACGTCTTGAATGTACGATCTGGCTACTCGTTGCCGACTACATCTACTGCGTAGTGAGTGAGCAAAAGGCACTGAAAGCTCCTAGCTATCTCTCTATCAGTGTAACAGAATGCGCCACGCAGTTAGATGCCCCCTCGCGCTTAGATACCATTCAAGTCTCCTCAAACCAGATATTTCTTGATCATATACTGATAGTATTTCGATCTTGGAGACGAAAACTATTATTGATGAAAGCAGTTACGAAACACCAAAAACAAACTCTTACAACAATAGATATAAACGTTATACAATTATGACCATTTTCGTGTTAGTAAAAAGGTACTGTGAAAAATATATTTATGTATTTTTATCTGTTGTTAATCTTGTGTTTGGTTATATAAACTCAGTCAAACAAATTGAATCGGACAACATAATTGGTGAAATTTTATCTTCGGAATGTCCCTTTCCATTGAAACACTTTCTAAAGAACCGCCTCGCTCCTTAGCCTGTAATCATAACATGCACGCCATTGCCTTTGAAACAGACAAAAGTTGACTCATTGAAAACGTGTGTCTAGTACCGTTATTAGCGCTCTGCACCAACGTATCAATAACGTATTTTCTCCGTACAGTCAGTCATTTGAAACTTTAATACTATTGAAAACATATTTCAAATAATTGACTGTTTGGGGAGAGAGTAATATAGGGGTAGATTTATATTTCTTTCTGGAACGTCTGTATAGCAGGGTAGAGAATTCTCTCTAGTTAACTGGCGCCAGGAAAGTAGTCTCTCTGCGCATTACTGACGTCATGGATCATTATCATGATTATAGTGATTACAGGTGTTGTTATGATTACAAGATGTTATTGAATAAGGTCAGCAGGCCTTCAATGACCGTGAACCTTAACCAGCAGTCTGGCAGGAATCATTAACTCTGGAGCGGTTGGGTTAATAGTCTAATGGTTAAAGCGTTCGCTCGTCACGTTGAAGACCCAGGTTCGATTCCCCATATGGGCAAATTGTGTGAAGCCCATTTCTGGTGTCCCCAGCTACCTAATATTGCTAGATATTGTTAAAAGCACGGAAAACTAAACTCACTCACTCATTAACTGAGGCGCAAAAGCGACTGTTTTTATGTAGTTGAAAACTGCATCTGATCATGTGTCTACTTCACTATCACCCGTTCCCGTAACAGTCTATGAAAAGTTGTGCGCGTGTGTGTGTACGTCAAGTTCGAGGTCAGTTTATCTAAATTGATACGCTTCAGGTCTTACAACAAAACCATTTCACTGGACATGGGATGTTTTCAAAAAAGGCGTGTACATTTTCTCTGTCCGAGAATATATTATATCGTTCCTTCCTGCTAAACTAACTAACTGACTGACTGACTGCTTTTAGCAATATTCCAGCAACATCACGGCGGGGGACACCAGAAATGGGCTTTACACATTGTACCCATGTGGGGATTCGAACCCGGGTTTTCGGCGTATCGAACCAACGCTTTAACCACTAGGCTACCCCACCGCCCCCTCCTGCTATTCTACTTTGGGTATCTCTTCACAGCCATGAAGGCACATATGATGGACATTTCTGGGCGAAATTCGACAAAATAAAGACTGCGGTATGCAGTATCCTCCCTTTGTGGTGCGCTCGCACACACACACCCGTGAAAATCCGGGTTAGAATTGTCATCAGCAACCCATGTGAAAAAGGCGACCGGGATTAGAATTCAGTCTCGTTGACCTGGGCCTCCTTTCACAAAGCCCTAAGATCCATGCCTTAGTCAATAAAAGGCGAGTTATCGTTAGCCTTAGGTGGTCAGGCTCGAAAGGACCTGGTTGACACGTTATGGTAGCTCTAAGGTTATGATGTCGAGCATTGGATTGTACGGACGAGACTTGATTATTTACAGACAGCCGCCTTATAGCTGGGATATTGTTGAATTCGGCGGAAAACCAAACTCACTCATACTTTGGAATCATCGCACCGATTGTAAGTAAGCGGTCGTACTGTGTGGAGATTACGTAGTAAATATAGACGAAATAAACTGACGTGCAAAAGAAAGTACCCACCTTGTGCTTTTGGATTACTTTCCAAAAATCAATGTAAATATTTTGAAAAGAGTTTCTACAGTGATAGATAATTCACAGTTTCCTAATATGTAAAACACCAGAGATATAGACGAAATAGGATGTTGCTATTCCGTTTCAGTTGTTAATGATTGTATATCATTCGTATAAGTTTCACATGATACAACATCAAACTTAAGTGTAAGTTGTATTTTAACCGTTTTTTAATAAACCCAGATTTTCCATGATTTAAGATTTCACGACCACCACAAGAAAGACGTGTCTAACTCGAAAGTCTGGACACCGTAAGCGCGGGTTGACCAGACAAGGAATGAAAACACAATTGGCTCTACAATGATGTTTACACATTTTTATGCATTTCGTGATAAAATACTACATGAATATTCAATTGAAAATACAAACCTATTTCGTGTGAAAAAACTACTTATGCCGGAACTATTTTCACTCAGCTTCAAAGACACAAAAGAGCTTTGTCAGAACAGACTTGTCTTTTTTGTTGTTTTTCTAAAGAAAATTGTTGTCCTTTTGTTTTGCTCTCTTTTTAAATTTATTTTGGATATATAACACTTTATCTCATCTTGTTGGCTACCCATTAACTTTGTCGAAACATTCTATTTGACAAGAAAGGTAAAGTGTCCTCTATGTATTGTGATCAAAAGAAACAGGTGAGAAGTCGTGGTTGTTAGCACTGACGTCTTTCCATACAATAATTCTGGTACCAGTGTCCTGGCAACACAAGGGAGAAGTCATATAAACATCACTGATTGGATGACCCCTGAAAATGTTATGAAGCGGAAGTTCGGTTTCATGACGTCATCATATATGAAGTCGCACACCCAGTGTTATTTTCATAAAGACACTTGTATTAAAAAGAGTGCAAATCGGGACGTTTCTGTATCTGCGATGAATGTTGGTAACCATGGAGATGTTTTGTAACGTCAGCATAAATGTTCACTTTTCACCTCTGTGTTACCCCTTGCCACTGAAAGGTAAAGCAAAGTCTGAATTAAGGTGTAGTTACAATAAGGATATCTGTATAGAGTTGCACCCCTTAGTAGTGCTAGGATCCGCTGATAATGGGTTCGAATTCTAGATTCCATTTGATTCTGATCCTTGGTTCTTCAGTTCCCATGCTTGTAGTTTCAACAACGAGATAAACCACCGTCTGTTATTGAATATCACACCATGGCCTGACATCAGGTAGATCCTACATTTTTACCACTATGGCGAAACCAAGGACAGAGTTACGCTGCAGTCGGACCAACGGTCACAACTAGATCGAAGTTGGATATGGCTCCCGATCCACAAAACGTTCGTAGCTCTAGGGCATTCGTAAGCCTATGATAAAGTATAGATTTACGACAGGTCGTAACGTTACGAACGCTGTGTGGATCGGGACCTTGGATCTTACAACGGTAACTATGGGCGACAAGTCCAGTACCTTACAGTTTGTAGTTCCTGTATCTTGGCAAGAAGACAATATTATTACATACTGACCATCAAGATTGTGAGCGAGTTTAGTTTTACGCCGGTTTTTGCAATATTCCAGTAATATCTCGGCGGGGGACACCAGAAGTGAGCTTCACACCTTGCACCCATGTAGGGAATCGAACCGAGTCTTCGGCGTGACGAGCGAACGCTTTAATCACTAGGGTACCCCAACGCCCCTGACCATCGAGAATGTCCGTCAGTCTGACCCGGAAGTCACAACCACTAAGACTCTGCCCTTCTATATCAGCGATCCTGAAGCTACGAATACTAATATGAGCACGACGTTGTCATAACAACGCTATTCATTCTACTAAAATATAGTTGTAATCTTAATTAGTAACTGTTACAAAGTATGACACGGGTTATAAACTTACAAGTCTTCAATCCTTAGATCGTAGTCATCCCTGCCAATGCCCCTCTCAATGCTGTTCGTCCTGGGTTGAACTGAAGGATTGAAAAGAGTGAGGGAGTAATATTTTACGGCGGGTTGTAAATTATTGAATTTGGACCAGACAAACCTGTTCCCTGTCCGGCTACTATGACCCGCGTTCAGGGCATCATTTTTAAATGTGTTTCACGAAGCCAATAAACTCTGAACATGGGTCGGTCGATCGGGGGAAATAAAAAGAAATAAAAACTTAATAAAGACAACACGCCATCGTATCCATATTGCGTAGATCGATGCTCATGCTGTTGATCACTGGATCGTCTGGTCCAGACTCGATTATTTACAGACCGCCGCCAGAGAGCTGGAATATTGCTGAACAAACAACAAACCAACCAACCGAGATAAAACGCAATACTGTATCCATGGTGTCGATAAACACCTTAACCTTACCTTTATTTACCGGAGTCGATTGGGGAACTTTTGTTCTAAAACAGAAAACAAAAGTAATTGTGGTTGTCTAGCAAGGATAGCAGTTAGTAACTATCGTAGCTATAGGTTAATTAAACAGATAAAAACATAAAATCTTAATCGTGTGCTGTTAAGTGACAGGACGAAATATATTTTAAGTTGTGTGACTTTCAACACTGGTTATGAAAGTGTCGAGAAGTACGTACAAAGCATTTTTCAGATACATCGCAATCGCTGCCATAAGCATCATGGCCATCAAAATAACGGTAGCTCTCATGGCCCACACTTCAGCTGAATCGTCCCTGTCTTTATCTACACTAGCAGCAACCGTGGCGTTGCTGCACACACATGGTGCTGCAGTGACGTCGCTGGGGCAGGTTACAGGTGTCGTCGTTGTCGTTGAAACTGAAAGTACATGTTCGATGTTCTTGGCGAGTTGTTTAATAGTCTAGATAGAGCTGGACCTAGAGTTGAGTGCAATTAATCAATCGATCGATCAATCAGTCAATCAATCAATTAATTAATCAATCAGTCAGTCGGTCGGTTTGTTTGATACGGTCTCAGTACAATGTGAATAACATACATTCGTAATTTGGAACGTAGCAAAAGTGTTTATTTAAGATACGTCTTAAATAAGGACACATGATAATGTAACTTTTCTATAAGCTATTGTCTCCTTAATATATATTTCGAATCAACAGGCGTATTTGGAAATTTGTTACATAATTTCTTCCAGGTGAAAATGGCCTTATGAGCTTACTAACACGAGAATTAGTACACTTGGTCCAAAACTACATGAAAACAAAATACCGAAGCGATTATAATAAATAAATGTACTTTGCAGTTTTACCTGTTACGAGATTGTAGAACCGCTTCTCATAAGAGCGAAGAAAACCACCTTTACAATGTACAGTACCTCAGCTTTATCCATGTTTATCTCCTAACCCAATGATTTACAATACCAAAGTAATAAATATATCTCTCTCTCTTTAAATAATTATAGTATCATCAAATAAAATAAGATCGCCAGCATACAACAGTAGCAGTAAATCCCTCAAAATTCGAACTTAACAAAACATCATTAGGGTCTGCAGAATTGAAATTCTGTTGAAAACAAGGCAAAGTGAAAAGGACGTAAAACACATCCTTGCCGTACACCGTTAGACGAATAAAAATATTTTAAAGCCAACTGACACTAAAATGTCAGAAAACGTATTTCTTAATATCAAAATTTATCTGCCCTTAACGCCTTGTTTCAGTAACGAGTTCGAATACCAAAGTAATCAAAAGCTTTTCTAAAATCTTCAAAATGAGACTAAAAACGACCTCTACATTTAGAAAGATACGTCCACACATTGGAATTTAAATATGTTATCTATCGTAAAGTAACCCTTGCGAAGTCAAGCTTGTACGTCAGTGATGCTGTCATAAAAGTCAGCAAATCACCGAAGACGATTAATGATAATAATACTAAAAGCTTTCCCCAAAACGCCCATCAACAACATACCTCGATAACTGTCAACACAATTTACATCGTCATTCTTGTGAAGAGAAGCAATGATATATACTGGACATTATTTTGTGTGGAACTGGTAATGTTTTATGTATAATCTGTAGGGATATGGTGTGCATGGATTATCGTGCGTGTGTTAAGCTCATCCGTTTTCTTACTTCAAACATATGTGACGTTGTGCGTTTGTTTTTTGTAGGTGAATAAATGGCTTGTGTGTTAATGGAAAGTAATTTTGCAAAAAAGTAGGTTGAATGTGCAAAAAGAACCAGGTTTTTACAGGTGTGAAAAATGAAACGGTTGTTTCTTGAAAATACCCGGGCCCAATGTCCATTTTTTGTGATTTTAATTTAAATGAATAGATTGTGAATATACCTGGGAAGAACGGTCTGTGTAACATCACCCAACTACAATCGAATCCCCACATGAGTACAATGTGTGAAGCCCATTTCTTGTGTCCCCCATGGTGATATAGCTGGAATATTGCTAAATGCGGCGTAAAACCAAACTCAGTCAGTCACTTAGTCACCCAAAACAACATAAATCAGATGGATGCTCCCTTATCGAACCAACGTCCTTTAGCTAACGAAAGCGTGATTTAGATTTTACTCCGCTTCTAGTAATATTCCAGCAATATCACGATGGGGGACACCAGAAATGTGCTTAACACATTGTATCCAGGTAAGGAATCGAACACCAATCTTTGGTGTGACCGGCGAACACTTTAGCCACTAGGCTACCCCTTGTTGTGTATCTATTATTAGATCACGGAATAAGTAAGGCCAGAATCATCACAATCAGAAACGTATATACCATTCCTTGGAACAAACTAACGAGGAAGAGTATGAGGTGAAATATGAAGTCACATATTTCTGCTTACCAGCTGATGTGGCGTTGTTGCAAACGTTGCAAACACACGCTGTTGACGTTGTTGTTGTTGTCGTAGTAGTAGTAGTTGGATCTGAAATATATGTGGTAGTTGTATTTCGACATAATTCAAGTGATAACCCGAGCCCGAGGTATCACAGGGACTGGTGTGAACCATGATAACGGAACCGTGACACCAGGAAGAATCATTAGGAAGAATCATGGTTTTGAATACACGAGTATCAGATACTGGGACACCCAAGGGAAGCAACTATAGAGAGCGAACCGAGACGACCCAGACGGGTCACCTGTGTCCCTGAACTATCTTAATCCAGTATGTTTGTTTGTTGTTTATATTACTCAGCATTATAACCTTGCTTGCGCCTCTATCATGGACAGTGTTGACAGCTGGATTGTCTGGTGAAGACTCGATTATTTACATACCGTCTCCATATAGCTGGACTATTGCTAAATTCGGCGTTATGCAACAACAGACTCTATCGTAGATCCTGAAGACTGTTATTGATGATAAAACTAAAAGCGTCCACAGAACGCCCATCAACGAAATACCTCGATAATTGTCAACACAGTTCACATCTGTTATAGTTTGGATTAAACTACAGATTCTAGTTCTTTTGGTGGGTTGAATCCCATCCGGGATTCGAAAACACACTCTCAAGCCTAAACTTAGGCTCAGTATTATTCGTTACACTGCTATACTGAGTCTATCAAAACCTTGTGGAAGGTCGCGTCAGGTAACCTTTGAGCGACCTATGACCGCCCAATCAAACGCGAAACGACCGAACGGATTTAACCAATCAGACAAGGGCTACTATTTAGGGTTCGGCGGGACTTACAGAATGGATTTTCTCTTCCCCGGTTGCCAACACTGATCTCACAACAAATGAAAACCCACATAAAACACAGATATATGACCTGCAGAATATACGCTTTTGGGTTTCTGTTGACATGGTTAACATTAGCTAATATTTCCACAAGCTGACAGAACGCTATTTTCAGCGACTGTTTACTCACTGTTGTGGCGTGCTCCATGTGCATCACTCGGAAGCGATCGTACGGAAAGTAGCATTCGGAATCGTTCGGGTACAAAACTTTTTCGAGGTAAACGTTCAAAAGGTATGTGCGAGTGTCAACTTTCGCGAAATCGCTAAGTTGTGTTCAGATTGGTCAATTGAAAAGGTTACCTGACGCGACCTTCCACAAGGTTTTGTTAGACTCAGTATAGCAGTGTAACGAATAATACCGAGCCTAAGTTCACTTAGACTGAGAGTCGGCTTCCACGGTGGTTGAGTGGGTTAGATGGCTAACTTTGTGTGCAGGCGATTAGATGCCTGACTTTGAGAGTATGGGTTCGAATCCCGGATGGGTCTCATCACGCATTCAGTGGGGCAAGTGTTATCACAATGAGAAACGCATACACCAATCCTTGGAACGAATAAACTAGCGAGTATATGCGGTGAAATATCAAGTCACATATTTCTACTTACCAGCTGAAGTCGAGGCGTTGCTGCAAACGCACGGTGCTGCCGTTGTTGTTGTGGTTGTTGCTGTCGTAGTACTAGTAGTAGTAGTTGGATCTGAAGTATTTGTGGTAGTTGTATTTCGACATAATTCAAGTGAAAACACGGCTATATCAGTTTGGGAGGAGAGCCCGGGGTATCGTGGGGTCTGGGGCGAATCTTGATCGCGGAACCGTAACACCGAGAATAATCATAAGGTAGAATCATGGTTTTAACGCACAAGCACCAAATACTGGCACACTCAAGGTTGCCAACAGCGACGGCTCAGCTGTGCCACTGAATCGTGTTTGTTCGTTGTTCGTTATTCAACGTCGAATTCAGCAATATTCAAGCTATTGGTTACGGCCTGTAAATAACCAAGTCTATATCGGGACGGTACTGAGCCAGTAGGGTACCCTAGTGGTTAAAGCGTTCGTTCGTCAAGCTGAAGGCCCGGGTTCGATTCCCCACATAGGCACAATATGTGAAGGACATTACTGGTGTCCCCCGCCGTGATATTGCTGGGATATTGCTAAAAGCGGCGTGAAATCATACTCACTCACTCAGTCACTCAGGTATCACGCTGCTGGATAATGGATACCATGTGGACACCCCAATCAGACACAGTATACTGACTAGGGGGACGCCTTAATGTATTTCCTTAATGATGAATACCAAGTACTGCGTTTCAAGTAGTATCTTTTCACGATTTCCGAGTTCGCAATAGGGATACAATGACATATGTCACCCATGTCAGCGAGCATGCCCATCCGATCCCGATAGTCGCTAGCATGGGTTGCTGAAGACCAATTCTAACCCGGATCTTCACGGGCAGCAGTATGGGTTATTTGAACACATTCCAATCTGGATCCCCTCTTGTGTCTTGTGTCGTGATTCGCATACTGTGGGAATGCATTTTGGAGTGAGTGAGTCTGTTTTTACGCCGCCTTTTAGCACTATCACGGCGGGGGACACCAGAAATGGGCTTCACACATTGTCCCCATGTGGGGATTCGAACCCGGGTTTTCGACGTGACGAGCGAACGGTTCAACCACTAGGCTCCCCAACCGCCCCGAATGCATTTTGGAGATAGGAAAGAATACAAATCTACCTAACCTGGAGACTCACCTGTAGCGGTCGCGTTGCCACTGCAGTTGCATGTCACACTCGGGCACGAGGCAGTTGAAACTGATGTCGTTGTGGTCGCAGACGTTGTTGTTGAGACAGACGTTGTGTTATCTGGAAATATCGATCACATTGCCGTACCACAACCTTAGACATGACTGGAGATCTATTCGAACCCGAGATATCAGTGTGAGCATTCGTCACCCCTCGCCCCTTTCCGTAACCTACATAGCTTTCGTCTACCTTCGCCCCTTTGCGTAACATACATAGCAATCGTCACCCCTCGCCCCTTTCCGTAACATGCATAGCATTCGTTACCCCTCGCCCCTTTCCGTAGCCTACATAGCATTCGTCACCCCTCGCCCCTTTCCGTAACCTACATAGCATTCGTCACCCCTCGCCCTTTACCCTAACCTACATGAGGATATGTGAAAATACATACACAAACAAACACACAAATAAACTCTGTCAAAAAGAAACGCAACCCCTGTATTTTAGAGATTTTGATCTGAAGTTTTAAGACGACACAGCATTTTTATTATTTAAGACAGAAGTCTGAAATTTGGCAGAATAATAACCAAGATGGGCATGTTTAAAATTGTCATTTCAAAGTCATCTCACAGACACCAGTTTGTCACCAGGGGGCGTCTTTCTCAGTATCTCGTATGAGCACCACGAGCTGCAATCACTGCACGGCATCTCCTTGGACAAGAACGGATAAGACGCCGGATTCTTTCCTGGGGAATGGCTCTCCACTCTCCTGCAGTGCAACGCCGAGCTGTTGCAGCGTCTGTGGCGGCGGCTGACGTTGACGTACGCGTCGACCCAGAGTATCCTACAGGTGTTCAATAGGGTTGAGGTCTGGTGATTTAGAGGGCTATGGCAAGACATTGACGTTGGAATTCTGCAGAAAGTTCATTGTTGCACGTGCAGTATGAGGCCGGGCGTTGTCTGGTTGAAAAATCTGTGTCTGTTGGTCAATAATCGGGAGAAGGTGAGGCTGTAATACGTGGTTGATGTAACGTTGGGCTGTCAGGTTCCCTTCAACGATCACCAAGTCTGATTTCTGGTTGTATGAGATGGATCCCCAAACCATAACGCTTTCTCCGCCAAATCTGTCCCCTGTCGGACGCAGATGGGCGCAAAACGTTCATGACGTCTCCTATACACACGTTTCTTCCGTCGTGATGTTGCAAAAGAAAACGGGATTCATCAGAAAACCAGATGCGCCTCCAGTTTTGTAAAGTCCATATCCTTACGTTGTTGCACCACCTGAGTCGTCGGCGGAGATGTAGGGGCGTAGTACAGGTCCAACAACTGGTCTACAGGCACGTAAACCCGCTTCTTTCAGACGGTTCCTAATCGTTTGAGCTGACACTCTCCTCAAACCTGGTATTTGTGTGGCAGTCACGGTTGGTAGGGCATGCCGATTACGCAGGTGATGGACCCGGATGTACCGATCTTGAAGGGGGGTCGTGATTCTTGGCCTTCCACTTCTCGGGCGATCGTTGGTCAAATTGAAGTTGTTGTAGCGGCTCCAAAGTCGGGATATCGTTGTTTTGTGAACATTTAGGTGCCGTGCAACAGTTCCAAAACTTTCTCCGGCTTGAACACGACCAATGGCGATATTTCGGTCGGCAGCACTCAATCGTGGCATTTTTCACAGCTTTTCATGCGACAAATGAATGAATATAATACGAAAGCACATGGGCTTTTATACACCCCTACATTAACTGCCATTTTCATGATTTGCATGTGGTTTTTTTGTGCGAAGTCACCATGAGGGTCATTTCATGCGTTGTGACGGAATAAGCAATAAAATACACTTATGCGTACAAATGCAGTTGTTTGATGGTAATCTTCATTAATTACGTGTATAATTTCAATACATTCGAATAACATTTAGTTTGGAAGCAATAACTTCATTCAAACGAATTTTCATATCTGAGGACAGGGGTTGCGTTTCTTTTTGACAGAGTTTATATACAAGCCCTATCCGCCCTGCAATATATATGATACATGCCTGAAATGTGGAAGTTGACAATTAGCTATGACTTTTTGCGCTTAGACGGTACCCAGTTGCAAAACTGGCCACCAGAGGGGCACGAGTCGCAGTTCGGCTTGCCTCGTCATAACACGAGTTGTCATGAATGCAGCTCGGGATTATATGACGAACCTGAGTTCAAGCTGCCGTTAGTTGTAAACATGTTGGCAATATAGAAGTTACAGTAGCTACGTATACATATTTATACTGTGAAATAACAGCAGTATTGATGTAGTGAGAGAACGATATATCAAGAGTGAGTTTAGTTTAACGCCGCTTTTAGCAATATTCCGCCAATATCACGGCCGGGGACCATAGAAAAGGGCTTCACACATTGTAACCATACGGGGAATCGAACTCGGGATTTCGGCGTGAAGAGCGAACGCTGTAACCAGAAGGCTACAACGCCGCCCCAAGATATACATGTATAGTGAGTGTGTCAGCTGGTCCACTTTGAACAGCGATTAAGCTAATCCACGATATGTCAGCCAAACAATAGATGGATAAAATAATAAGGGAGAACTCAGGTTAAAATCGACAAGCACATCTAAATGTTATATTATAATCCTGGAGTAGTTGGGATTCGAACCTAAGACGAGCAGATTATGGTACGAACATTAGGCAAACAGGGTTTTGCTGGTATTGAAGTCCTAAAATACGCATGTACTACTCAAAATATGTCAAGTACCATCCGACCATGGGATGACAGATCAACTATAGTAATATTAGAGATATTTGGTTTCCTTGACTTCATTTGGGTAGTATGTCTACATACCGCAAGTTTTAAACAGCACCAACAAGTGACATTTGTCCTCCAGTTTGCCATCGGTAGCAGTCACGACAACTGACTGAGCCAGATCTGCAACAGCGCCACCTGTGGGGAAGGCCTCCAGAGTTACCGAACCTGATGCTAAATTGACTTTCAGGTAAGGATTGACATCGATGCTATATTCCACACTTGGTCCGTCTTCGTCATCCGCCGTCAATGTCAACAGCTCACTGCCCAGATCGTCGTTGCAGCCCACGTTGGCAGTGTAGGAGACGTCTGTAAACGCTGGTGCTATATCGTTGCTGTCGGTGAGGCTAACTCGCAATACTGCTGCTGATGTTTTAGGCTCCGTTCCCTTGTCTGAGGCAGACACTGTGATGTCGTAGTAACTAGAACCTCCCGTGGAAGGATCAAAGTCGAGCTCACTAGCAGTTGACAGAACTCCAGTGTCACAATCAATAGTGAATTTACCAGGAGCATCAGCTGCATCTGCAAGATAATAGTCCGGATGTGGTAATTATTTCATCATAAATGTGAGTGAGTATGGTTTTACGCCGCTTTTAGCAATATCATGGCGGGGGACACCAGAAATGGGCTTCGCACATTGTACCCATGGGGGGAATCGAACCCGGGTCTTTAGCATGACGAGCACACGCTTTAACCATTAAGGCTGACCCACCGCCCCATCACAAATAGCTAGAGGCAAATAACGCCATCTGATAGTGAGGCTCGCTGATTTGTTTGACTTAAATAAAAGCATTAACACTGAGTAGATGGCCAGTCCTGACGCAGATCTGTGAAGGTCCGGGTTAGAATGAACCTTCAGTAACCCATGATTGTCGTAAAAGGCGACTAAGGGGATCGGGTGGTCAGGCTCGCTGACTTGGTTGACACGTGTCATCGGTTCCCAACTGCGCAGATTGATGCTGATGCTGTTGATCACTGGATTGTCTGGTCCAGACTCGATTATTTACAGACCCCCGCCATATAGCTGTAATATTGCTGAGTGCGGCGTAAAACTAAACTCACTCACTCCTGACGCAAATCACCCCCGAGTGCCTGGTCCAGACTTAACTTAACTTCCCTCGAGCTCCACTCCCGAATACATATTGCTGAGTATTGTACCACAAACAAAAATCAATAAATCAATGAGGCCATTAGAAGCCCCCATTGTGACCATCACATCCCCATGACCGCACGCTCTGTCAAACACACATACGCGTAAATACAAGTACACATTCAAATCGAACCTACCCGAGAGAACTGACGTAATGGCATACGTCACTTCACCGTCTTCTCCGAGGTCCGCGTCAGTCGCGTGGACGGTTAGGACTTCGAATCCTGGTGCAGTGTCTTCCGGAAGACTTTTTCCAGGGAATTTTCCGTCGGTAACACCCTCCAGTACAGGATCATGTTCATTCACGGGAATTATCTGTATTCATAATTGATTTGCAATTAAGCTTCTGTGTTACCATTGTGTTGTACATTGGTTACTTAAAGTTACTGACAGATATTGATTTGAAATTGATTTGAAACGTTGTACCTGCATCCACCATTGCATGATCTTGTTTTTCAAAAGCCGTTACCCAAACGACGGTTATACCTTTAAAACTGCGCTGAAGCTGTGTCATTTCGTTCCTACCTCAACGACGACTACGGTGACGCCCGTTCTGGCATCTGTTGCGTGGTCAACGGCGGTGACAGTCACCGAATACGTAAAGTCAATTCCCTCTGCCTCCTCGTAGTCCACGTCCTTCGACTGCACGTAGAGGACATTTCCGTCAAGTCGGAACAAGTTGTGGGTGTTGCCGTCGCTGATGTTGAAGCTAAACTCGCCATTGTTTCCATCATCAGCGTCCGTAGCAATGAGTGTCAGCAGATCGGTCTCTGAATCAATTGCATGAATATACTCTTTAAAAAAGAAACGCATAGGTGGTTTGAGAATATTATCTTTGAGATTACATGAAATAATTGCTCTTAAACTAACTCAATAAATTCATCTGAAATGGCTTATACGTTTCTGTTTCTTTTTGTGAAGAATGTATATTACTATACTTCCTTGTTCAGTGATAGTTATATTTTGTAGTGTTCCCGTGAAAATCCGGTTAGAATTTATCTTCAGCAACTCATGCATGTCGTAACAGGCGTAAAGAGATCGAGTGATCAGAGTGAGTGAGTTGGGTTTTACGCTGCTTTTAGCAATATCACGGCGGGGACACGAGTAATGGGCGTCATACATTCGGCATGACGAGCGAATGCTTTAACCACTGGGGTAACCCACCACTCGGAGTGATCACACTTGGTCATTGGCCATCTTATCCTAGTTGCGTTGTTAAATGCTCACCGGGTTGTCTGAACCGATTATAACAGACCGCCGTCATATATCGGGGATGTTTCATCAAACAAACCATATTGTGACTAAAGTAGTGATCACAAGGCATGCCAGGATCTGTTAAAGGTAGGTTCGAATATAAAAATTGCTGTCATATAATCCATGGTTTGACTGCATCATTTCCGTGACCAGAGGCCCAGATAAGCTGCGTATCCAGGTAAAATACGCATATAAAATTTCCAATTACGCATTGAAAAATAATTGTTGCGTACCAATTACGCATTTTAAATGTTAGATACGCAAAAAGTTTAAAACAAATGCGTACGGAATATATTTATAAAAATCGATTGCTATCAAGTTGTACTGTTAGTATAGGATGAATGATTTTTATGAAATCATTTCCATTATATTTAAGTTGGTTTTGATTAGGTATGACATAAGGCGGAACATACCTGCTTAGTAAACTTACTCAATGACGTAATACTTAGGTGAGTAAAATGACTGAAATACGCACATATTTGGAAGCAGTGGGTAACGGAAAATGAAATACCCACTCAACATTCATAATACCTACTCCAAATACATACAGTGGGTACAGTTCCCACATGAGCTAAATCTTATCTGGAGCTCTGGGTCCGTGCATCAAAATTGAACAGGTCAAAATAATCTGATGCGCTGTGATATAACAGAAAGCGGTCTTCACTGTCTTCAGAACGTGTAAAACTAAAATGATTGTGTATTCATAAAATTTATCAGTCTACATGTCAACTCGAAATGTAGAATCGTGTGTATAGATGTGAGTATATAGTTTGAACCTTTGTCAATAAATGAGTAAGTATGCTTTTATGCCGCTTTTAGCAATATTCCAGCAATGTCAGGGCGGGGGGACAGTTTGATATTACCCATATTAACAAAATACGGGTGATGAATTGCATATCATTTTCACAAAACTGTTTCCTTTTGAAACTATATTCACCAAAATTAACACCAGAAAAGGTTCCAAATCCTACGCAGTGATATGTATTCCATGCCATGGGAACCAAACTAAGCAATCTGTAAATGCCTTTTTGGCATATGCATTCGCTGAGTCAAAAAGCTGGACAATGGAAACAACGGTAGCAAGACGATTCTGTGTTATTTGATTATATTTAGAGTATAATGTCACTGATATTAACTTCTGAATGAAACCGTGCTCTCACAGGAAACGTCCAACTTCTGGTTATCTAATTTGCATACTTACGTTATAAGCTTACGTCACTTATGCCGCTTATGTCACATATAAATGCTTTCGATAAATGATAAGGGAGTTTTACAAGTGTCTACCTCCCGCAACTTGCTCTGTTACTTCCACCCTGTGGATAGCACTGGAGAAGGTGGGCGTGTTATCGTTGACGTCAGTGACGACCAATTCTAGGGACTGCGTCACACTGTGGCCGACTTCGTCAGTGACGTGCAGCTTGACGTCAAGTGTCGCTGATGTTAAAGTCTCGAAGTCCAGGTTTTGTCCGAGGGTCAGCTGGCCAGTTGTACTGTCAACGACCAACAAGTCACTGTCGTCACCTGGGGGAGAGTGAATGAGTGAGTTATAAGAAGAAACTGGTTGTTCATCAACAAAACGACGAATTATGCTTTAGACCGGGTTGATGGTGGTGGTTGATTGGGCAAAGCCATAATTTATGCAATCGGACATAATAAGATTATCCAAAGTGAAATAATGCTTCATGGGTAACTAAACAGAGGACCTTTCATGTATAGTTTATTTCTGTCAAAGAGGCAACAGGCACAGGACAATACAGTTATTAAATACACAACATATGTTTTACAAAAGCATCGTATAAACGCTTGTCCCAAAAATTTAATAGATATGCATACTGACATATGTACAAAGCATATTAATAAATATATCTTTTTACTACTGATACAGTTGTTCATGTTGTGTACCATAAAGTTTAAAAGCAAAATATATATATTTCCCAAGATTTAAAATAGTCGACTGACAATCTGAATTCATTAAGTTCGTAAAAGATTCCTGTGATGGATATATAGTAAAAGATTCCTGTGATGGCTAAATGCTTTAGTATCAATAGTTAAATTAATTTTCAATATACCTTTTCCAGTGAGTAAACTCAGTAAATCGTGCTGTACCTACGTACTATCATTATTGAAAGTGAGTGAGTTAATTACGCCGATCAGCAATTTCAATATAATCTAATCCATAACATGAACAGTGAGGGAACATGACATGTGTCTACAGTCAACATCAATACCAGTTCCTTTTACGACAAGCCGCCTTCTATCATTAAATTGACCTATTACCACGGGTGCTAACACAGAGGACCCTAAAACTTTGATTTGTTAGCAAAAATCACAGTTCAATCTACGCTCTTCTTTCAAATGGAAACAAAGAAACAAAACAGACTGCTCCTTTTGGCAGGGCCACCTAACTTAAATATGTAATCAGGAATATTTAAAAGATAGAGGAGGATCGGTTCTATGTGTTGTCGGGTAAATTATGATGGACCATGATCCTACAGCACAATGCATCTGACAAAGAAACGCGGGCGTTGGTTCACGGTATTTTCTAGATCTGACAAAGTAACACCTGGATCCCTATAGATCTAGCACCTGGAGTTCTATAGATCTAGCACCTGGAGTTCTATAGATCTAGAACCTGGAGTTCTATAGATCTAGCACCTGGAGTTCTATAGATCTAGCACCTGGAGTTCTATAGATCTAGCACCTGGAGTTCTATAGATCTAGAACCTGGAGTTCTATAGATCTAGCACCTGGAGTTCTATAGATCTAGCACCTGGAGTTCTATAGATCTAGCACCTGGATCCCTATAGATCCCTATAGATCTAGCACCTGGAGTTCTATAGATCTAGCACCTGGAGTTCTATAGATCTAGCACCTGGAGCTCCATAGATCTAGCACCTGGAGTTCTATAGATCTAGAACCTGGAGCTCTATAGATCTAGCACCTGGAGCTCCATAGATCTAGCACCTGGAGTTCTATAGATCTAGCACCTGGAGTTCTATAGATCTAGAACCTGGAGTTCTATAGATCTAGCACCTGGAGCTCTATAGATCTAGCACCTGGAGTTCTATAGATCTAGCATCTGGAGTTCTATAGATCTAGCACCTGGAGTTCTATAGATCTAGCACCTGGAGTTCTATAGATCTAGCACCTGGAGTTCTCTATCTATAGATCTAGCACCTGGAGTTCTATAGATCTAGCACCTGGAGTTCTATAGATCTAGCACCTGGATCCCTATAGATCTAGCACCTGGAGTTCTATAGATCTAGCACCTGGATCCCTCATAGATTCTAGTTCTATAGATCTAGCACCTGGATCCCTATAGATCTAGCACCTGGAGTTCTATAGCACTAGCACCTGGAGTCTTATAGATCCCCTATAGATAGTTCTACCACCTGGAGATCTAGCACCTGGAGCACCTAGATCTAGCACCTGGAGTTCTATAGATCTAGAACCTGGAGTTCTATAGATCTAGCACCTGGAGTTCTATAGATCTAGCACCTGGACCTGGATTTCTATAGATCTAGCACCTGGAGTTCTATAGATCTAGCACCTGGAGTTCTATAGATCTAGCACCTGGATCCTATAGATCTAGCACCTGGAGCCCTATAGATCTAGCACCTGGAGCTCTATAGATCTAGCACCTGGATGGATCTCAGCACCTGGAGTTCTATAGATTCTATAGATCTAGCACCTGGAGTTCTATAGATCTAGCACCTGGATCCCTATAGATCTAGCACCTGGAGTTCTATAGATCTAGCACCTGGACTATAGATCTAGCACCTGATCCCTATAGATCTAGCACCTGGAGCTAGCACCTGATCTAGCACCTGGATCCCTATAGATCTAGCACCTGAGCTCCATAGATTTAGCATAGATCTAGCACCTGGAGCTATAGATCCACCTGGGAGTTCTATAGATCTAGCACCTGGAGTTCTATAGATCTAGCACCTGGAGCCCATAGATCTAGCACCTGGAGTTCTATAGATCTAGCACCTGGAACCCTATAGATCTAGCACCTGGATCCCTATAGATCTAGCACCTGAGCTCTTTAGATCTAGCAACTGGAGCTCCATAGATTTAGCACCTGGATTTCTATAGATCTAGCACCTGGAGTTCTATAGATCTAGAACCTGGATTTCTATAGATCTAGCACCTGGAGTTCTATAGATCTAGCACCTGGAGTTCTATAGATCTAGCACCTGGATCCCTATAGATCTAGCACCTGGAGCCCATAGATTTAGCACCTGGATTTCTATAGATCTAGCACCTGGAGTTCTATAGATCTAGAACCTGGAGTTCTATAGATCTAGCACCTAGATCCCTATAGATCTAGCACCTGGAGCTCCATAGATTTAGCACCTGGATTTCTATAGATCTAGCACCTGGAGTTCTATAGATCTAGCACCTGGAGTTCTATAGTTCTAGCACCTGGATCCCTATAGATCTAGCACCCGGAGTTCTTTAGATCTAGCACCTGGAGCTCCATAGATTTAGCACCTTAATTTCTATAGATCTAGCACCTGGAGTTCTTTAGATCTAGCACCTGGAGCCCATAGATCTAGCACCTGGAGTTCTATAGATCTAGAACCTGGAGTTCTATAGATCTAGCACCTGGAGTTCTATAGATCTAGCACCTGGATCCCTATATATCTAGCACCTGGAGTTCTATAGATCTAGCACCTGGAGTTCTATAGATCTAGCACCTGATCCCTATATATCTAGCACCTGGAGTTCTATAGATCTAGCACCTGGAGTTCTTTAGATCTAGCACCTGGAGCTCCATAGATTTAGCACCTGGATTTCTATAGATCTAGCACCTAGATCCCTATAGATCTAGCACCTGGAGCTCCATAGATTTAGCACCTGGATGTCTATAGATCTAGCACCTGGAGCTCTGTAGATCTAGCACCTGAGCTCCATAGATTTAGCACCTGGAGCTCTATAGATCTAGCACCTGGAGCCCATAGTTCTAGCACCTGGAGTTCTATAGATCTAGCACCTGGAGTTCTATAGATCTAGCACCTGGAGTTCTATAGATCTAGCACCTGGATCCCTATAGATCTAGCACCTGGAGTTCTCCCAGATCTAGCACCTGGATCCCTATAGATCTAGCACCTGGAGTTCTATAGATCTAGCACCTGGAGTTCTATAGATCTAGCACCCGGAGTTCTTTAGATCTAGCACCTGGAGCTCCATAGATTTAGCACCTGGATTTCTATAGATCTAGCACCTAGATCCCTATAGATCTAGCACCTGAGCTCCATAGATTTAGCACCCGGAGCTATAGATCTAGCACCTGGAGCTCCATAGTTCTAGCACCTGGAATTCTATAGATCTAGCACCTGGAGTTCTATAGATCTAGCACCTGGAGCTCTATAGATCTAGCACCTGGATCCCTATAGATCTAGCACCTGGAGCTCTATAGATCTAGCACCTGAGCTCCATAGTTCTAGCACCTGGAGTTCTATAGATCTAGCACCTGGATCCCTATAGATCTAGCACCTGATCCCTATAGATCTAGCACCTGGAGCCCTTTTAGATCTAGCACCTGGAGCCCATAGATTTAGCACCTGGATTTCCATAGATCTAGCACCTGGAGTTCTATAGATCTAGAACCTGGAGTTCTATAGATCTAGCACCTAGATCCCTATAGATCTAGCACCTGGAGCTCTATAGATCTAGCACCTGGAGCTCCATAGATCTAGCACCTGGAGTTCTATAGATCTAGCACCTGGAGCTCTATAGATCTAGCACCTGGAGTTCTATAGATCTAGCACCTGGAGTTCTATAGATCTAGCACCTGATCCCTATAGATCTAGCACCCGGAGTTCTATAGATCTAGCACCTGGATTTCTATAGATCTAGAACCTGGATCCCTATAGATCTAGCACCTGGATCCCTATAGATCTAGCACCCGGAGTTCTATAGATCTAGCACCTGGATTTCTATAGATCTAGCACCTGGATTTCTATAGATCTAGCACCCGGAGTTCTTTAGATCTAGCACCTGGAGCTCCATAGATCTAGCACCTGGAGTTCTATAGATCTAGCACCTGGAGCTCCATAGATCTAGCACCTGGAGTTCTATAGATCTAGAACCTGGAGTTCTATAGATCTAGCACCTGGAGTTCTATAGATCTAGAACCTGGAGTTCTATAGATCTAGCACCTGGAGTTCTATAGATCTAGAACCTGGAGTTCTATAGATCTAGCACCTGGATCCCTATAGATCTAGCACCTGGAGTTCTATAGATCTAGCACCTGGAGTTCTATAGATCTAGCACCTGGAGTCCTATAGATCTAGCACCTGGAGTTCTATAGATCTAGCACCTGGAGTTCTATAGATCTAGGACCTGGAGTTCTATAAATCTAGTACCTGGAGGTCTATAGATCTAGCACAACAACAACTCTATCGCACCACGGATAAAGATCCAACCTCGCATTGTTAGAACACCTGGATTTCTAGGAGTTGCTTTGTCAGATCTGACCGAAAAACGCGAGCCTTGATCCCCGGTGTTCTGTAGATCTAACGCATGTATCGCACCTCAGATCAAGGGCCCCATTGCTTGACAGATCTGTATAATGCCTGGGTTCAAGGAGTCACTTTATCAGATGTGACAGAAACGCATGTCTTGGTCCTGGGTTGTCTATAGGTCTATCAAAGAATTACCATCTTTTGTCAAGTCTTTCAATTCCAGGTGATGAAAAGGTGAGGTGAAATTCAAAGCCTTAATAAACATATACAGCGGCTGGTACAGGTGTACTTCAGCCACTTGACCCGATGATGACCTTCATCAGTGGATCGTTAAATTATGGTTGACCAACCTTGCAGACTGAAGGTGAGGGTGTCGTCTTCATCCGCGTCACTCACGGTGTATCCTCTTGCGACGTCCGTCCCCACTGGAATTTCTTCCGGAATGTATATCTCCTTAGTAACCGTGACAACAGGAGTCTCGTCGTTTGAGTCCAAGACATGTACGACCAGTGTCTGGTCAACTGGGTACGTTCCGTCCGTGGCGCTGAAAGGCAGTTTGGTTTTAGTTGCCAAATATGAAATAAAAACAATAGCTATTTTATGACTAATATAAAAACACAGATTTGTATCCTTACATGTACGTAGAATAGTTTGAGTGAGTATTGTTTTGCGCCGCTTTCCGCAATATCACAGCGGCGGACACCAGAAATTGGTTTCAAACTGATGTGAAGTAGAATAGGGCCCGTAAGTCGGTCACGGCGCTTCGCGACACCTTAGTGCTTCCGGTGACAAACAACGTTTCATACCTTTTCGAATGGTCTCGTGGTTGTCATTTGACAGTAATGAACCCATAATCCTTTTAGGAATGACAAATTTCCGATCTAACCATCCCCAAATTAGTCACCTATTACGACAGCCAAGCATGGTTGTACTTGGTCCGGTCTAGTAAAGTCAGGTTTGGCAGTCGCGCAAATTGGAAGCAGAACTGGTTCTTGAATATACGATTGTCACCGGAAATGTGGTACCAGAAGTAAGCTGGGCCCCGTCTCGCATATAGCAAGTCGGTGCGCGCAAAGGGAGCCGGGAACCAGGTTAGTACCGGAAATAGCGCCTCGCGAGACTTACAGGCCCCATAGCTTGATAGTTCATCGTCAGATAATTAAAAGTCTAGGCAGAAGAAGGTGAACAAAATGAAACAAATAACCGGTTATTCACTGGTGATATATTTGCAGTTTTGCCGTCGAAGCGAATTTTCAATTATATCCTGTCTTTTGCCTGACAGTTTGTATCTTTTAACCATATTATTAGCGCCGATTGTTTTCATTCACCAAACATTATTACCTGACTATTATTGTATGGAACCGTTCAAATTCAAAGTCAAGTTGCTTTTCGATCTTCAACATTGACCCGTCAACCTTGAACTTGGTATCAGAAGTGCTGAAGGTCACGGTATCTCCATCGACGTCATCGGCAATCAGAGAGACGACGTCCTGTCCTACACTGGCGTTTTCAAAAACGTCCACTTCCTGAATAGTCATATTCCATACGGGCGGGTTGTCATTAGACCCTATGACATTGACGCGCAATGCACCATGGGTAGAGCGAGGGGGTGAGCCTTCGTCCGTAGCAGTGATGTTGACGATGTAGTATTCGACGCCGCCGGTGACGGTATCAGCGTCTAGCTGACCGGAAACTCTGAGCTGTCCAGACGATGCATCGATTGTGAACAAACCGTCTTCCTGGACACCTGAATCTAAGAAACGCCGTAAGGTCATGTGTAAGTCCATTTGTACTAATTTTCATACAAAATCAGTGAGTTTCCATTTTTCACTTTCCAGATATGCACGCTCATAATGATAAATATGCCTGCGGTACTGTACCTCACTGTACATTCAGTGAGTGAGTGAGTTTAGTTTTACGCCGCTTTTAACAATATTCCAGCAATATCACGGCGGGGTACACCATAAAGTGGGCTTCACACGTTGTACCCATGTCGGGAATCGAACCCGGGTCTTCGGCGTGAACGAGCGAACGCTTTAACCACTAGGCTACCCCATCGCCCCCTGTACATTCAGAACGAGATGAAGCCCTCAAGCAATGACATTTGTTATTTTACAAGCTTTGTGTGCGGCGTAAAACTCACTCACTGTTTTAGAAGCTTTGTTGTTTGTTGTTTGTTTATTTGTTGTTTAACTCCACACCCAGCAATATTCCAGCTATATGGCGGCGGTCTGCCAATGATCCCGTCTGGACCAGACAATCCAGTGATCAGCATCATGAGCAACAATCTACGCAACTGAGATACGATGACATGTGTCAACCAAGTCAGCGAGCCTGACCTCCAGATCCCGTTAGTCGTCTCTTACGAAATGCATGGGTCTCTGAAGACCGGATCTTCACGGGTTTGTTTTGAAAGCGATCTTCATGTTACATCTATATATCTGTGTGAAGTGGTAGTGACACTAAGACGAAAGTATGAACATTAATGTATACATGGAGACACTATGAAAGTTTTTTTCTTGTTTAATGAAAACTAGTTCCTGAGTCCATATCTAGCTTTACACAATGGTTTCATAAAACATTCAGGACTGTGTCAAGACTCTCACGTGGGGATATTTGGAATATACGCGAGGACACGTTATAGTTTGGGCATGTTATTTATTCTTCTACCAATCATACGACCTGTTGTATTGCATTTCTTATTGTAAACCGAATACAGCGCGTTTAAACATGATGTATTCATCCTATTATCATTTATTGATTTCACTGTTCAGTATTGTGCTACTGATTACTTGGGTAACCTCCTGATTTCAGCTTGGAAATCTCCACGAAACGACTGACTTAGCTCCGTGTTCACAAATGATTTTCGTATGCTATAGTTTTACGCCGCTTTTAGCAATCTTCAGGCAATATCACGGCCGGTACACCAGAAATGGTTTGCACACATTGTACCAATATGGGGAATTGGACCCGGGCCTTTGGCGTGACGAGCGAACGCTTGAACCACTAGGCTACCCCACCGCCCCCAATTGTAAAAGGGAATCATACGATATTCTAATCGAAAGTGTGTGAACATTACAAACAAGTAGAGATCAATGCCGATTGCCAATAGAAATACACCATCTTCATTTAGGCAGAAATGAGTACGTAATTATTAAACCTTAGGGCAATTTTCTACAAATGTGTCACAAACCAAAATCCGTCTGCCAAATAAACCGTCACGTGCACGTTTATTACATGACGTCACTTCCTGTACTGTATTCATTATAAATGTCCCACCTGATATCACTGAAGGGATGCCATATGTCAAGTGACCATCACTGCCAAGGTCATCGTCTGTCGCCACGAAGGTGTCGATCACCGCTCCTACATCAGCGTCTTCAGCAACGGAGACTTCGACAAAGTTGCCGCCGCCATAAATATCCGGGGATATAAACACGGGGGTGTGCTCGTTCACAGGAAGGACCTGAAGATCCAAATATCCAAATACAAGGTCCAGCAAATGTCAACTGTGTTTAATACTCAACAGGACGGACAATGTCAAAATTGATTAATGTTTGTTAATATTCCCGCTATATTCCCGCTATACTACGGCGATCGGTAAATAATCATGTCTGGGCCAGACAATCCACTGATCAACAGTAGAGCATCGGTCTACGTAATTGGGATACAATAACACGCATCAACCAAGTCAGCAAACCTGACCAAACCGTGAGTCGCCTATGACTACAAGCATGGGTTACTGAAGATCAATTCTGACCAGGATCTTCACGGGATTAATGGCGCTTTTTGCCTATGAGTGTATCTTTTCAAGCTACAATGTATATATTTTGCCAAAAAGGGTAGCTATAACGACGATTGTTTTGGAATATTCATCCATATTCAAACAATTAATCAATTAATCTACCCGTGAAGGTCTGGGTTAGAATATTGACCTTCAGTAACCCATGCTTGTCGTAAGAGGCGACTAACGGGATCGGGGGGTCAGGCTCGCTGACTTGGTTGACACATTTCATCCGTTCCCGATGCTTTGAAAAGCTTTTCGATTCTGGCTTACAAGTCACAATCATCTTGAGGTTATTGTCTCATGCTACACTGCGAGTGAGTATGGTAATACAAAGATTTTAGCGATATTCTTTTTTATATCACGACACAAATTGGCCTCGTACATTGCACTCATGTCGGGAGTCGAACCCGGACCATCGGCGTGACCTGCAGAAATATTGAGCAAGTGTCCACACACTGCCCTCCACAATCTATTGAACGCAAAAGAAGTTAACGTCCCAAAAAAATTGATCTGTCACGGTGTTCTTAGCCTCTTGCGAGTACCTGTTGTATCTTTAACCTAGAGTTCTAGTGAATTAAACATTATACGCTGTGGTAGCCACAAACTTAACCCAAGACAGTCAGGTTAGCTTTAACATGTTGCCTACAACCAACAAAGCAAATATCTACACTTTCTTGGTGACCCAAGAACCAATTTGTAATAAATAGTAAATACTGTCCATTAAGTGGTATGTTCAAAATATTATATGTATCGCTTGAAAAGCCAGACATTTGATCACTTTCGGCAGGAATATTGGATCTGAACCAAAGAACCCTGCCTGCAACGGGACTTAACTCATCGGTGCAGCCTGAGCCTCAAACAATTTTAATGGCTCCCGTCGGGATTTGGTCCTCGGCAATATGCTTGTATTACGAGGCGATCCGATAGTCAGGCTCGCTGACTTGTTTGATCGCGTTTGACCGTTCCCCGGGGTATCAATCACGTGATAGTCTGGTCCAGATTCGATTATTTATGTCTATATATGTAATGTAATGTTGCGATGTTATACATAAACAGCCGCACAGCAGCTTTGATGACTCTAGCGCCAATAACATGGATGTAATACCTTTACAGTGACGACTGACGTCGAGGTGAGACGTGGTTCACCAGCCAGATTGTCGACGGCCACAATTTTGACGTTGTACACGTCGCTAGTGGCCTCGTAGTCTACGGGTTCTCCAGATGTGAGAAGTTGGGTCCCAGAGAACTTGAACTGGGAGACCCCTGCTTCCAGATCAAGACCCACAACCCCATACTCGCCACCGTCCAGGTCCGTACAAGCAATGTCCGATATGACCACACCTGAAAATACAGAAGTATTCAATCCAAACGTTTTCGGGTTTTTTATATCTGTCATGAATATTGTCATACTGTCATATCTGGTTTTCAGAAGAGGCAGAAAAATATCTGGTCTTTAGACAAACCCAGGCCTTGTAGCCTGGTGCTTTGGGATGTTTTCCCAAAACACAACGTACATATTTTGAAAGCCACAAACACTGTATTCGTCAAACATGACACGATAATATATCCATGCTTGTCGTAAGAGGCGACTAACAGGATCGGGTGGTCAGGCTCGCTGACTTGGTTGACACATGTTATCGTATCCCAATTGCGTAGATCGACCCCGAGTCATCCTGTTGATCACCGGATTGTCTGGTCCAGACTCAACTATTTACAGACCTCTGCCATAAAGCTGTAATATTGCTGAGTGCGGCGTAAAACTAAACTCACTCACTCACCCACAGTAATTACTTCATGATGCCAAAATACAGCGATATTTCGCAGTTCGAATAAGACAAATACTAGCTGAATGGTATCAATGAAGTGCTTCTATTCTTTTTTCCTGATCAAATATTAAGAAACACTCTATACAGTATTAATACCCAGTCAAGCCTTCATACCTTCAGCCGAATTCTCCGTGATGTTCCCCTGTCCCGTGACGTCACACACAGGGGCGTTGTCGTTGATGTCGACAACGGTGAGGTTCCAACTGACTGAGGTCTGAAGTCCGGCGGTGTCAGTGACGGTCAGAAGGAGGTCATCAATGGAGGTCACATCACCTGGGCTATCACGGTCAATTCGTTTGGCAATGGTCAGTTCTCCGGACGATTCCAAGTTAAAATATTCAGCACCGGTTCCTGTATAAGACATGATATGTTTGTTATTGTTGATATTAATGCTTTCGTTTTCCCGTGTTCCGTTATCATGAGGAAGGCGACAAGCCTAGTGGTTAAAGCTTTCGCTCACATGGGTACGATGTGTGAAGCCCATTTCTGGTGTCCCCCGCCGGGATATTGCTGGAATATTGCTAAAAGCGGCGTAAAACTAAACTCACTCACTCACTGAATGTACAGTTGCCTACAGTACCGCAGGCATATTTATCATTATGAGCGTGCACATCAGGAAAGTGAAAAATGGAAAGTCACTGTCGTCATTGAACTCACTCACTCACTCACTCACTCCGTCAGAAATAGTAATAATACCAGGTTTTGGAGACAGTGTGAGCATGTCCTGCCTCACAAACGGTACTAGATATTGATTAATAGATCGGATCACAGCTACAATGTAACATATTTTCTAAATCAAAATTTGAAATAACTAACAATTGTAACACCATCAATGTATAACACGAAAAAGCCCTTATATTAATTAATGTTGCCAAATTAAACCATCCGAAAGGACATATACATCAGTAACATATCTGATAAGGGGCACTGTGGTAGCCTAGTGGTTAAAGAGTTCGCTCCTCACGCCAAAGACCAGAATGTTCCCCGCGAAAAAAGAGATGTCTCCCGTATTTTGCCGCCTATGAAAAGGTAGACGTTGTGTTATGTACGGGGGCGATGGGGTAGTCTAGTGGTTAAAGCGTTCGCTCGTCACGACGAAGACCCGGGTGCGATTCCCCGCATGGGTACAATGTGTGAAGACCATTTCTGGTGTCCCCCGCCGTGACATTGCTGGATTATTGCTAAAAGCGGCGTAAAACTCACTCACTCATATCTGTATATGACTGACCTGACAAGGTGTATGTAACTGTATCGTTTACATCCGGGTCACTGACAGAGAAGAAACATCCAATTCCCATTCCTATTGGTTGTTCTTCGGTTAGAGTCAAGGGAGGCAATAGAGTTACTTCCGGTGCCTCGTCCACGATGTTCAGGACGTTGATGGTGATTGAGGTGCTGGTTTCGTGAGTTCCGTCCGAGGCACTACGGATAAATACCACAGATTGATTTCAATCCTTGTGTCAATAGTTATTGTTAAAAAAATAAATTTGTATGTGTTTACGTGCAATATAAATATATAACTAAAAATGAAGGTCGTCAGTTTCGGACAAAGGCTATTTTATAGTATTTCGTGAACAACGCATAATTTTACAAATAACGAAAGAGAAAATAGCAAAAAAGTGTTATTTACCAAGTAATCTGTTAACCAAATCCAGTATACCAGTGAGTAAACCACAGACAGAATGGAAAACAGACCTTTATTTCCGTGTTTTCTGGACTTGACAATACCCAAAAGACTATTGGTCGAGCAGGACGTGCTTACCCCTTGGAAGACACCCGGTGTCCTCAGTAACCAAATATTTTTATAACAGTTGTTTTTTTCTTTTACGCCATTTGGAATATGGCTCGGACGAAAATTGATTAGTCTCTCGCGATGTTAAAGTTAAGGGACTGGGGCATTGCTTGAAAAAAGATGAACAGACTGCTGCATCTCTTATCGTTTCAGTAAATTCAGTGATTGCGCTACATAGCCACAGTTGAGTTTCTGTTAAATCACGTGATTGCCTGGGTTGTTTACAGGACACATAGTGACAAATTGCCATCACGGATTTTCAGTGATCCAATTTCCCCTTTATTTTGCCTTTACGACCAATGGTGGATAATAGAGGCTGATTATTCTGTGAGATATTTCCTCACCTTACTGTTAGAGTGTGGCACTGTTTGGACTCGAAGTCTAATTGTTCTTTGACGATCACGCTGTTTCCGAACGCTGTTTGGAACGCTGTGCTGCCAGACAGCGTCAAAGTCACGGCATCTCCGTCGGGATCTTGAACGTCAAGGTCAAAGACCACCTCACCAATGACCATGTTCTCGTCGATATTCACCTCTGACGGAGCATATTTGAAATAGGGCGCGTTGTCGTTCACGCCGGACAGAACGATACGTTGAATTCCTTCTGTAGACTTCATCACGGCTCCACCATCCGCAGCCCGGATGACAAGTGTGACGTACTCAAAGCCGCCTGTTGATTGGTCGAAGTCAAGTTGCCCGGATGTACGAAGTATGCCTTTGTTGTCCAGAATGAAGAGGTGGCTCCTGTCTACGTCTCTTTCTGCCATGCAGATTCATAATTACAACATGTTGCTTGTTTATACCGTATCGTCGTAAGTTAAGTGACATTAAAATCCTTTCTTTTTCTTGTAGTCAAGATCTGACAAACATAAGTACCATGTATTTCAACAGATTGACCCTTAAAGTAAAAGGTCTACTTTATATAAGAATCTCATTGCTTTCACCTGTTTCGTATTGGAACAGCAACAAGCGATAGTGGTGTATAGTATTTAGCGACATTCCAACATAAACATTGACAAGCGAGGACAAGGAATGGATTCACTTGTGTTAAACATGTCAAACTTGGACTCCTCTATATTAGTATAAGGCATTGCTGGACACACAATTTCTCTGTAGTATCACCTCTTAATTAAAATCCTTCACACCCATATTGCAACTATTATCAAATGCTGCTATTAATACTATAACTAATACTATATACACTACAGATTGTTCAGCTTGACCTGAGCTACTCTACCTATGCATGACCCGGGAGGTCAAAAGGCACAAACGGCAAGTCAAGTTAACTTCATTAAAAATGGGAGCAGAGAATGTTATTAATGCCTTAAAGCCCGAATCGGAAACATGAAACCATCTCTAGCTTCCTTTTTTAAAGAAAGTTAGGACATTGCTGACGATTTCTCGACACTGAGATGTCAAAAGGCGACCTTGTCTCGGCTGTTGACAATGAACTGACAAAGGTGCACCCCTTCACTATAATGGACCCAACCAGTTGTGACACGGTCACGCAATGCATTAGTATTCACTTGATCAGGTCAAGCTGAACAAGCTGTATATACTTATAACTAGTACTAACACTAATACTGATGCCAGTATTAATACTAATAATAACTACCCTGTATATTTTCTTGTTTAGTTGACAGCCATGCTAACTAAAGAATTCAAACGTTTGTTTCATTAAAACTCGAAAATGTACACATTTCTTATCGACTAGTGTTCTAACTTCGCGTTGCAACTCACAAGAGATTTTACAGCGAAACGTATATATTTGTTTCACTTCATATCGAAACTTTAAGAAAACTATTTTCAGACTCCGAGAACATCGATGACGACAGTTATCATGTTGACGGTGCTTACCATCTCATCCGGGTAAAACAAGGTTTTACCAAAATGTGATCATTGTAGTAGACCTTTTCCTTTACATGTTAACAATGTAGGACAAGATAATTAAAATAACAAAAACTTTCATTTGCTTGGGTTTTTCTGTGGCTATAATTATTGACCTCCTTCTATGTGGCTGGTTGTATCTCGAAAGTCATCTTTGGCACATTACTTTTGTGATTTGTCGTCACTTCCTGTGTACAAAATCACCACTAACGGTGTGAGTAGCATTTTATGCCGCATTTATCACTATTCAATCCTCATCACTTAGTACCCACGTGGGGGCGGTGTGGTAGTCCAGTGGTTAAAGCGTTGGCTCGTCACGCCGAAGACCCGGGTTCGATTCCCTACATGGGCACAATGTGTGAAGCCCATTTCTGGTGTCCCCCGCCGTGATATTGCTGGAATATTGCTACAAGCAGCGTAAACCTAAATTCAGTCAGTCAGTAGTACCCACATGGGTAATCAGGCCCGCTCCTTCGTCGTGACGAGGGAACATTTGATCCACTTCGCGTTAGCGTTGCCACGATAGGTAAGCCGCTAAACATGTAGCTTTAGATTGTTCGACTTTGTTTATCTACGTATCAGCAATATTCCAGATAAATGGAGAGCGTCCCTCTACAGAATTCGGATAGGATCGATGACATACATCAGCCCAAACAGCGAGCCTGACCACCCGGCAACATGGGTTGCTTCTAACCCACATCGGGGGCGATGGGGTAGCCTTATGGATCAAGCGTCCACTCGTCACACCGGAGATTCGGTTCGATTCCCCACACGGGTACAATTTGTGAAGACCATTTCTGGTGTCCCCCGCCGTGATATTGCGGAAATATTGCTAAAAGCGGCGTAAAACTAAACTCATTCACTCTAACCCAGATCTAAGATCCCGATATTTTACATCAAACGGGCCACAGCTGTCAATCTCAAACCCTTAACAAAGATCTGTAGACAGCAGATCCACGTACCATCTTTGACCGAAACGATGTCATATGTGACGTCACCGTCAATCCCGGCATCCTGATCTCTGACGTCGAAGGTGATAATGACATGTCCAGTTCCAACATCCTCGTCAACAGCTATTTCTGGGAAACGTCCATCCGTTTCCAGCACAGGTGCTTCGAACACAGGTTCATACTCGTTCAGGGGTTGAACCTACAGGTGTAATAAAGTCTCTTGGACACAATATAATTGTAAATTTTCGTTTCATTTAACGTTCGCAAAATTCATCATCAGACCTATCTATGTAACGTGAAGATAACAACTATTTGATCGTTAAAATATATGCAGGATGTCCAATCAGACAAAATATATACTACTGTATCACCGATGGAACCAGGGCTGTCGAGATCCCATCTACTCTGGACTGAAATTATACAGCTCTAAACTCTATTTGGGTTTATTTTTTTACATGGTAAATATATATTATAATTAATAAAACTTATTTCCCTAATAAAATGTACGTCTAGACCAAAACACTGTTCAGGTCATTAGGGCGTTAAAATCGTGTGTTTCTTTATTGTTTAACGCCGCACTACGGCTGCAGTCTGTAAAATACTCGAGTCTGGACCAGACAATCGAGTTATCAACAGTATGGGCATCGATATACGCAACTGGGATACGATGACATGTGGCAATCAAGCCAGCGAGCCTGACCACCTGAACCCGTTAGTCGACTCGTACGACAAGCATGGATTGCTGAAAAACAAATCTAACCCGGATCTTCACGGATCAGGGTTTACAAGCATTAACAGACCGGATGTTTCGAGACATCCAATATGAAAAATAACTGGGTAATAAAAAATGGATGACCAAGATTGATCAGCGCCACCTACACGAACAATGACAACTGTAGACCCAGTCAGACTGCTGCCATCAATGGGTTTATCCGCAGCCTGTATAGATAGAATGTACGTGTAGTTGTTCACTGCTGCGTTCTCGTAGTCAATCATCGAGCTGTCGCATTTCAGAACGAGGCCGTCCAACCGGAACTCGCCGCCATCGTTACCGGAAGTAATAGTTACGTCGAAATCAGCGTTGTCTGCTTCGTCTCGGTCAGTAACAACTAAAGTCATCAGATCCACTTTGTAGGAAAGAAGAAAAACATATTAACATAACGCAAATGCAAAATTAAAATCTTAAGCATGTGAGAAAAATGTTACTGTTTGTTCTTAATTGTCGTGGGGTAGCCTTGGGGTTTAAGCGTTCGCTCGTCACATCGAAGACCAGGGTTCGATTCTCCACATGGGTACAATACTCGAATCCTATTTCTGGTGTTCCCCGCCGTGATAATGCTTGGAATATTGCTAAAAGTGGCGAAAACTAAACTCACTTACTATTATCATTAAGTAGCGGTGTGACAAAACTTCAAGTGATGCAGTGGGTTGTCTCCCCTATCCGAGACAGGATTATCTGGTTGTGGATTAGAAGCCCACTTATAAATATATAAATCCTAGATCACCATATTGACAGTACACCAGTACTTATATTTTTACCATCGCCTTGTCCCCTCTCTGTCGTATATACAACGTGAGTGTTGGCGTCAAACGTCGGCGCGAAGTCGTTAACGTCTGCGAGGGTGAAGGCCATGTCCGCTTCGCTGAAAAGACCAGATGAATCCTGAACTTGAAGAGTTAGGTCCATACTGGCCTTGACCTCTCTATCTAGTCGATTGGCAACGGTCATTTCTCCGGTGTCAGGGTTGATGTTAAAAGACGAACTATCAGGCCCTGTAGGTGTGGTAAAATGTAGAACGAGCTTTAAACGGTCTTCAGCATACAGACAACAGTGAACCCCCCCAAATTAGCATCAAGGTATGTGACAATATATTTTGTTTGTTTGTTGTTTAAAGCCACACTCAACAATATTCCGGCTATATGGTCGAGTCTAGACCAGACAATCCAGTGATCAACATCATGAGTATCGATGTATGCGATTGGGATACATTGAAATGTTTCAACCAGGTCGGCGAGCCCGACAAGCCGATTCCGTTAGTTGCATCTTACGACAAGCATGGGTTGCTGTAAGCCAATTCTCAACCTGATCTTCACGGGTCACAATATATACTTCGAGAGTACATTTTGACGTTCAAATAATAAACTGGTGATAAGAAGTTCGGCGATTACTCGAACAAAAAAGCATCAGGAAATATTTACAGTGTAATCATCTTATTGTAAACATTGTATGTTTGTTTAGGGTACCCTGGTCAGAGGTAATTTGAAAACATGACATGGAAGTGGTCACACTCGCCCGGGGTATGGCATGAGTTAATAAAATCAACACGTTCACAGATGTATCGGCCAAAACATCAACCATTACATTCGCGAAGTCTAGACGCTCCTATGACACAACTGTAAGGGTATTGGCCGATTCATCTCAAACAGTCTCAGCAGATCTGTTTCATAGAAGCAGACACCCAAGGAGTTCAGTGACAATCGCATGTTATCGAACCCCGATGGAATTGGTCGATGCTAATGCCTCAAACACTAGTTGGCCTCATCCTAGGTGCTGAGATTGGAATTCTGTTGTGAAGGGCCTAAACAACATTCACTCGTTTGTCCTTACTTTAATATATTTGTCCTTACTTTAATATGTTTGTCCTTACTTTAATATGTTTGTCCTTACTTTAATATGTTTGTCCTTACTTAAATATGTTTGTCCTTACTTTAATATGTTTGTCCTTACTTTAATATGTTTGTCCTTACTTTAATATGTTTGTCCTTACTTAAATATGTTTGTCCTTACTTTAATATGTTTGTCCTTACTTTAATATGTTTGTCCTTACTTTAATATGTTTGTCCTTACTTTAATATGTTTGTCCTTACTTTCATATGTTTGTCCTTACTTTAATATGTTTGTCCTTACTTAAATATGTTTGTCCTTACTTTAATATGTTTGTCCTTACTTTAATATGTTTGTCCTTACTTTAATATGTTTGTCCTTACTTTAATATGTTTGTCCTTACTTAAATATGTTTGTTCTTACTTTAATATGTTTGTCCTTACTTAAATATGTTTGGGTTGTTTCTTGTTTAGCGCCGCACTACATATTGCAGCTATACTCCTCAAAGCTAAGGAACACCTGACTCTCTCATATTACTGTGGTAAATCTGGCATTATCTATAGTAACACGAAAGACGGGGTGATCCTAAATTTAATTTGAGTAGTATATGTGACTGTCTGTATATGTTCGTGTCTGTTCTGAACAATCTAGTGATTTATATCACCAGCATCGGTTTATACAATCACACACGAAGACATGTCGACCCGGTCCCGTTAGTGGCCTCCACACATAAACTCTAAAAGACCAATTCTAACCAGGATCTTTACGGGGCTTACCAATAAGAGAATACTGCAGATCGTCCATGACGTCATTGTCTGTGACGTCAAAGGCCCAGCTGACGTCGGTGTCAATAGGCAACTCCTCCAACAAAGTGATTGGGTTACTGACTATTATGACGGGTTGTTCGTCTATTTCATCAATCACCTTTACCAGGAGGAGGTCAGTCGTTGTATACAGCCCGTCCGATGCCCTGAAACAGAACAAAAGGTTAAAACCCTTTTCAAAGGGTCAGATGTACAGAAATTAGATATACACTTAACCCATTAAATTATGTGAGTAAGTTACGTTTTATGCCGGTTTTAGCAATATTTCAGCAATATTACGGCGGAGGACACCTGAGTGAGTGAGTGAGTGAGTGAGTTTAAATTTAAGCTGCAATAAGTTTAGCAATATTCCAGGAATATCACGAGCGAGGACATCAAAAATGGGTTTCACACATTGTACCCATGTGGGGAATCGAACCCGGGTCTTCGACGTCACGAACGAACGCTTTAACCACTAGGATACCCCACCGCCTCTTCATCAAATTATGTATGGGCATATTTCATTTATGGCCATGAACATTTTCTGAATGACACACGCCACCCAATTCTTTATTATCATAATCAGAGACCATATAACAGATATGGTCTCTGTCATAATCAACAGATTCATTAGGAAATTAATCCGTACGAAAAACGATTGAGGTCAGTGCTTTAAGAACGTTTTGATGTAATGACAGCATGTCATTTCCCTTTTGGATAAAGTATGTATAGTTACAGCAATATACACGCACGCACGCACGCACGCACGCACGCACGCACGCACGCACGTGAGGTTAAACCTTATTCCACCTCGACTGTCATAACATTTTAGGCCTCAAATTCACTTACTCCACCAGCAACGAGTACCAGCTCACTGTTTCATAATCAAGTTTTGTAAGAGTCACTAAAGACGTTCCCTGAACACCGAAGACGTCTGTGTCGCCTTCCTTAATAGAGTACACGACAACATCACCGTCGACGTCAGAGGCATTGAAAGAGTAGATCGCCGTATCCACAGTCGTTGATTCCGCAACGTCAATCTGATAGTCTGTCAGAGTGAACACTGGGGCGTTGTCGTTGACGTTGTCGAGGATGATCTTCAGCGTTGCTGACGTCTCCTTGTAGGGGTCGCCATCGTCTCTGGCTGTGAGGGTAAGGTCGTAGTACATCTCTTCTGTAGTGATATCACGGTCCAGATAGCCGGCGGTACGGAGAGTTCCGGTCACAGGGTTGAGGGCAAAGAGTCCTTCCGATGGTTCCCCTGTGTCTGAAACATACAATGACCAGAGTTGTTTGTTTGTTTGTTGGTTGTTTAACGCCGCACTCAACTACATCCCAGCTATATGGCAGCAGTGTGTAAATAATCGAGTCTGGACCAGATAATCCACTAATCAACAGCATGAGCATCGATCTACGCAAATGGAATACGATGACATATATCAACCAAGTCAGCGAGCCTGATCCCGATCCCGTTAGATGTCAATTTGTAAACAACAAACAAACAAATCATGTATATCCCTCATATCAGCCTTGAGTGGAAAGAGTTATACAGTAATTTACCGTTTGGTTACGCCAAGACCTAGTATTGACATTTCATTGATTTATTCATGCCGATTAACGGATTTGTGATTCGAGCCAATGCACACTACAAACTGTGAGTAACGCCACACGAATAATTAAAGAACTGAATGAACTGAAATATTCGGTAACTAATCTGATCACTTTCTATAAACGTATGTCCGTACTTGTGATAGCAGCAGTGATGATGTACGTGACGTCCCCGTCAACTCCCTGGTCGGAATCCGTCGCCTGCAGCGTCAGGATCTCGGACCCAACAGTGACGTTCTCAAGCATAGTGAGGTCAGGAAACGCAGAACCAGTCAAAGACATGGACGTTGCCCAGTCTGGGGCGAACTCATTCACGGGCAGCACCTGGAAGATGTAGCATGTCTCCTTGAGTTGTGCTGAACTGAAATCGGAATCTGAGTTTTTAAGTTACCCTAGCCCTGTCGCTAATTATTTAGTACTTTTGGGCAAGAAAATGAAATACAGACACGTTACTTGGTTTCGGTCACTCCATAAAAAAGCAATATGTTTCTCTGATCTGAAATGAGGAGCCGATTTTTATGTTTGTTCGCTCACACCTTCACACATACGAGCGCACACACACGCACACACTGTATGAGCGTATGTTCTTACTCAACAATAACCCGTCATTGTATTCGGAGGGGCGGTCGGGTAGCCTTGTGGTTATACCTTCGTTCGTCACGCCGAAGACCCCGGTTCGATTCCCCACATGGGTACAATGTGTGAAGAACATTTCTGGTGTGCCCCGTCGTGATATTGCTGGAATATTGCTTAAAGCGGCGTAAAACCATACTCACTCACTCACTCACTCTTTGTAATGGGTAATGGTCTCAACATCCCTATGTCCACATCATTCATAACACCCATATTTGACGAAACAAACTAGGCATCTCAATTTGATACACATTGTAAATATCGTACTTCATGTCTCGGTCATTTTTGTAATGTTTTGATCGAAATCCAAATATTAGGGTTTTGCTTTGTGGTCTTCGGTTTCAGAATTTCAGCGAGTTATCAGCCTTTGTCAACCTTTTTTAATGTATTGGTCACATGTAGTTTTCAAGTGTAAACCTTCATTTGCCCAACACTAAAGTGTATATACAACGTGGTGTATAAACTCCTTATTGAATGTAATAAGGATACAACAATATCATGTAAAATGTGGCGAAGAATTCAACTGTTGTCACGACTCACAATCACGGCCACCATTGTGACCCCGGTTTTGGGCGACTCCTTGTCCGGCGAGTCCGTCGCTTCCACGGTCAAGAGGAACATGTGCTGGGTGTCCGTGAGAGATTCATAATCAAGGTTACCAAGGGAAGATAACTGTGTTCCGTTCAGCTCGAACTTGTTGGACACTGGGTTATCGCCAGCTGTGATCTGCATTGTGATTTTGCCGTTCGTTCCCGAGTCGGCGTCAGAGGCGACAAGATCCAGCAACACTTCTGATTCAAATGTGAAATTAATAAAACATCAACTCGAACACCACTTTCTCTATATGAATCGCTCATCTAATCGTGAAAAACAGTCACTACCTCGAACATTGTTGACTTAATGCATCCTGTCATTAAACACAACCTCATTCTCCAAGAAAAGTACCAATAAAAAGTCTCGAAGTACGAATAACTCGATATGTATTCGGTTATGCTCAGGATAACGAGTTGCCAAGGTTCTGCTGCGTGGTCTTCTGGTTTAGAAATAACAGACCTCGGGCGTGTATTTAGCAATATAAAGGCAGACATCCAGATTGGAAAACCTACATTATCTCAGGGTCTAAAAACGAATGGAATGCACTTTTCGCGCATTCACCCGTCAACGTCAACGTCTCCATGATCTGCGGATACACATCCCATTAGAGCGTAAAATGCAAAACAGCGGATCATAAAAGGTGTATGTTGCATACAATAGTAAGTGTAACGTGGTTGCAAAAAGGCCTCAAAACAGGCCTCCTGATTCGTAAGTGAGTGAGTATAGTTTTACGCCGATTTTAGCAATATTCCAGCAATATCATGGCGGTGGACACCAGAAATGGGCTTCACGCATTGTACCTATGTGGGAATCGAACCCGGATCTTCAGCGTGACGAGCGAACGCTTTAAGCACTAGTCTACCTCACCGCTCCTTTTTTTGGATAAAGAGGGACAAGCACGTTCAATGAGCTCTCGATGGCAACCTGGCGGAGAGAGAGATGTCTTGTACAGTTAGACACCTATTGCAATCACAACGACATTGCCATCATAACGACATTGCCATGACAACACCATTGTCATCACCACGACATTGTCATCACAACAACATTGCCATGACAACGACAATGCCATCATAACAACATTGCCACCACAACAACACTGTAATCACAACGACAATGCCATCATAACAACATTGCCATCACAACAACATTGTCATCACAACACATTGCCATCACAACGACATTGTCATCACAACGACATTGCCACCACGACAACATTGCCATCAAAACACCATTGCTATCACAACGACAATGCCATCATAACAACATTGCCACCACGACAACACTGTCATCACAACGACATCACAACGACATTTTCATCACAACGACATTGCCACCACGACAACATTGTCATCACCACGACATTGCCATCACAACGACATTGTCATCACAACGACATTGCCACGTCGACAACACTGTCATCACAACGACATTGCCATCACAACAACAGCAACATTGTTATCACAACAACTAAACAGGAAAAGATATCGTACCTTTTGAAGAACCCTCAGATAAGTGAATGGTGTCTTGTACAGTTCATTCTTAATGCAAGAAAGGAGGTAATAGAATTTTGTCGAACATGGCCTTGACCGGTCAAGGACAGCGTCATCGAAGGTGCATGTACATAAAAGAAAGTTTGCATTTGCTTTTCAACATAATTTCTATATCGTACCTTTTGAAGAACCCTCAGAAACGTTAACTTTATAGACAGATTCAGCAAACACAGGCGTTGCATCATTTATGTCCACAACATCAACAATGAGGTCGGCCATTGCTTGGAGACCCGCAGTGTCCGTCACTGTCAAGGTCAACTGGTCAAGGACGTTTCTGCCTGACATTGATTCAACGTCCATTCTCTCAGCAATAGATACTTGACCTGATTCTGCATCGATGTTGAAGAAATGACTGTCACCACCTGCAACGCACAACGTGAGGGATTACTTTCACATTAGTATTGGTAAAATCATCAAACCAGATTGGAGGACACGTTTGGTCGGGTTTTGTTCCTGAAAATGACATGAGCTCAGATGTGCAGAGTTGCTTCCCTTTGGCCTGTTAGAAATCTGTGACCGTCATTCAATGACATTGAATTTTTCTATATTTGTAAGTCACCATGCCTGTTAATCAGAGTGGGTTTTATCCTTGTTTTCCCCACATAAAGCTCTGCATTATTTTCCTGAAATACTGATCAAAGTGACGTAAGGCGTAACAAACTAAATGAGCAATAGGCTACTTAAACAACTTTTAACATACGATTGAATAGATGAAAGATTACCTTTCAAAGTATAGGTGTGTGAATCACCACGGTCAAGGTCGGTCAAGAGGAACAAACCACCCACAGCCGTACCAACCGGAAGTTCTTCCGTGACGTTAACTGGGGTCAAGGTCACTATTGATGGCGTCTCGTCTATTACGTCTGTTACCTTGATAACCAGAGTCCGGTTGCTTTTATAGGTACCATCTGATATCCTACAAACCAGAGGTGAAAAAAGTCATTTTTTAAAGAAAATGCAATCAAATATGCTACACTGGTTGTGATTGCGTACTATTATATTTTTCTATTCAAGGATACGATGTGAAAACTACCTTATACGGTAACGGCGCATTGGATAACTCAACAAATTGTGACATTCTCAACTCATTACACAAGTTCATTTCTAAAAGTAAGCGCTTCCAGTGATTATCACCTCTACATATACATGAACATTCAATGCAAGACAAGATTTATATAACTTGATTTTCTGCGACAGCTCTTTTCGTTGCTCGGCACAACCAACACCATAACCAAATATTTATTATTCAATCATTTTTCTGAGTGTAATTTTGTCTCAGTATTATTTTTTCTTGTCGGACTATTTCAATTATGTATCCAGCTATATTGGAACCGTGTACTGGAGCGGCGTTTATATAAGCCACTAGGCTTGTTCGCCTATCCAGGTTTCTGCACTGACGGAATAAAAATATGTTTAAACCATTGCGTACTTCTTACGACTAACAGTGTCTGTGACTCATACACGTATTTCAGACATTACCAAAATGGCTGCGCTTGTGTGGAATGACACCCCCCTTTAGTGGTATCATCTCATTGCCAAAGTCAATAAACTAACCCTGAATGAAAACATTTAGTTTGTGTTCTGTGACTTTGTGACAGAAGGTTTAAAACGCCTCTTAAACCAACTCCTGAACACAAAATTGTCTGTTTGGGTTTTTTAATTCCATCTGATGGATCATAGTCAAGTAATTAAATGTCTTCATGTTTATTAAGTAATGACTCTAGCAGAACGAGTATTCTTTCGCCTGTGATTCTTGAGCCCAAACCTATATTAGCTTAGGTCCCTGATCCCAGAGAATGAGAATGACATGTCGGCCCGTTTGCATAAAAAAGCATACGTGACCCCATCGTGTTGTTCCGGAAGTTACGGGAAGGATCAAGTGGTGACAAATGGTATAGAAACATTAGAATTGACTAAACTGTGGTGCTATGCGTACCCGACAACTATGCTATGGCACTGTGAAGTTTCATAATCTAACGTTTGTTCTAGAATGACGTCTTTTCCGCTGATGATAAAGAGGGTTTTATCTCCGTCCTCGATGCTGGCCACGACATCATCACCATCGTTGTCCTCGGTAGTCAACGTCACAAGAGCGTGACCAACATCCGTGTTCTCCGCCACCTCAATGGACGTCGGGAAATTTAGGAACACTGGTGCGTTGTCGTTTTCGTTTCCTACAGTAATCATGAAATCTCTGTTGGTGCTCTTGGGTGTGGTGCCGGCATCTGTTGCCTTGACAACGATGCTGTAAGTGTCAGTGCCCCCCGTGGCTGTGTCAGCATCCAGAAAGTCGTTCAGGCGAAGT